ATTTCTCATTTGATAAGAGTTATGATTATTTAAAAATGTGTTCCCTTGTGGGGAGGTACTTGTTGCAGTAGTAAATATTAGGATTTGTAAAGTTTGTGCAAGTTGGATGAATCTTTCTTGTTCTATAAGGTAAATTATTTCTATGACAATGTTGAACTTTTGTGTGGGAGGTACCAGGAGCAGAGGGCCGAACTCGATCTAAGTTTGACAATAATATTACGATATACCAAGTTTGAACCAAATCTGATACTCCCTTCGACAGTATATCGGGCGGACAACCCTAGATCGCTCCAAATGCCCTGAAACGGATTTTGTCCAAAGAGACCCAGGTCGAAAACCGTTATTTCGATTAGGTACGTTTTTGCCGTATCAAATGATAGATACCTTTGAAGTTAATGGCTAATGGTATAAGCAACTTGCGGGAACTCATGAAAACTTGCAGAACTCAAAACTTACATACACGTAATACATGTTCTCAATAATTTCAAGTTTTAGTCTTTCATACTCAAACCACAAACCAGTGTGGTTAAGTCGCTTCTGTTTCCACCCGTGGACGCCATTTATACCCTACATATAAATTAAGTATATTTTTAAATGTATTGAAATTGTTTCTTTTCTTCTAGCCTAAAATGAGCCTAGTATTAATTTAAGCTTTTGTAGATTTAAACTACATTTGACTCTTTGGTGAAAATGGGAAAATATCGAAAGAAACTGATAGATACCCAAAATATTTATAAATTATATAATTTAACAGCAAATAATCGTTGATACATAATAGATATACTTAAGGGCTTCGAAATGTTCTCAAATTTTCAAAATTTAAATTAAATTGTCAGCTGAGATTCCTTGCCAAAATTTAGGTATACAAAGATATATCATTTTATTATTTAACCGGCCAGTAAAATTGGGAAGGGAAATTGTCCAAATTGTATTTTCTATTTTTTCTCCCAGGCAGGATTGTCGAAACAAATAAAACACTTCTTCAGAGAAATAAATAAAAACTATTTTGTTTTAATAAACTTTTGTTTGTATTTATGCATGTATGTAAGTATGTTATGCTATTAGGAAATATATGTATTTATGTTTTGCTTTCAAGATAGTTTGTAGGTAGTTGTTGTTGTTATTGTGTGTGTTATAATGTTTATAGATATGAAATAGTTAATGGTAATTAGAATTTTTTTATAAAGTCGTTATTGTGTTGTCGTTTGGAATGAAGGAAAGAAAGAAAAAAACAAAAGCGAATCAATTTTCCATTATTAATAATGCGTGTTATGTATTTACGAAAAAATTTAATATTAGGGATTTATTTTTGAGAAATTGTCTTGTATATATGTGTATGTATAGAAAGTGTTTTTGTTGAATAAATGTGTATTTGCATTTGGTTTGTGACTTTATTTGTTTTTATTTTTTTTTTTTTTTGGTTTTGATTTAATAATAATAGTTTGTTTTTATAATTTCAATATGTCATAGATTTTTAATTTATTTAATTTTTCTTTTTCATATAATTATTTTTGTTTTTAATTACTCTGTATATGTATAGTTTTTTGGGTTTTTTTATTAATATTATATATTTTTTTAATTTTATCAATTTGTTTTAGATTTTAGTTTTTCATTTTGTTTTTGTTATAAACTGGTCAGCAACAGTAGCAAATTTAACAATGTGCGTAACAAATAATTGTAAATATTTTTTTTTAATATGTTTATAAATTTCATTCATTTTCTTCTTCTTGTTTTTCATTTTGTATGTATAATATATATAACTTATAATATTTATTTATATATAATTTAAAGTATGTATAATATGATTACAATCAGTTTATGAGGGCGAAGATTTTGTTTAGTTTCAAATTTTCCAAGGTTGTTTTGGGGGGAAGGGCATTTTGCTTGTTTTTTTTGTTTTTGGTTTCATTATTTTTAAGTCAAGTAACATTAAATTTTGTTAAAACAAATATATAATATTCTTTTTATAATTATTGCATTTTCATTTTAATGATATTTTGCTTTTACATATTCAATTTTACAACGTTTGTTTTGTTGAGAACAAATGAAAAATGAAATAAATTATTTTTTCTTTTTTTATAACAAAAAAATCAAAATATTTTATTAACAAAATTAAAACTAATAGAATTTATTTTGTAGATGGTATTTATTTTCAAAAGATGTCTAATTCTTTTGCGGGTTTGAAATTCTATTTCTCAAGAGGGTGGATGTTGCATATGGAATTGAAAAATTCCTATTAATTTTTAATTAATAAAAAATCAATCACTATTTGAGATACGTTTTTATTGTTAAAAGGATACAATTTTTTAAGCACATACACAGGAATGATGTTGGACTATAAAAGCCTTACACATTTTTAAAAACAGTTGGACAGGACCGAACATTTAATTGCCATCAGTGGGTAACAATGTCAGGTAGCCTGCGAGTCTAACTTTAAAACCGTTTGTTCAAAGTTCAGTAACTAATGTCGGAAAACAGGGTAACAGATATAAAAGCAATGTGGTTATCAGCAAATAAGTGGGTCGTAATTTCAATACCAAAATCCGTTAATTTCTCTCAGGGAATTGAAAAATAATATAATTTATTTCGAAATATTTAAGTGACTTTAACTATTTTTTCACTAGAACCCAGGTAAATAAAGTTTGGTTTGTAAGTAGTTATAGCGTAATGAAATTTTTCACCAAGGAGCAAAGGTAATATTAAAGAAAACTTGAAATGTGGTTTATTACCAAGAAATAGGGAACCTCTTAAAAATATCTAAGGCCAATATTGATACTCAAGTGATATTGACGTTTCCTTAATTGCGAATATTTTCGGTGGAATGAAATCGAAGAAAGCTTTGAGAACGTCTTCTCATATACGACCAGAAGTGTTTTCTGTTTACCACTAAAAGATCTTATCTCCAGAAAGGTTCTCCCATAAAAGACAAAAGGGTCCTCTTTTTGAAGACCAAAGGGTTCTCCCATGTGAAGATCAAAGGGTCTTTTCTTGGAAGACCAAAATATCTTATCATGGAAGACCAAAATATCTTATCATGGAAGACCAAAGATATTCGTTTAGAAGTCCAAGTGTTTTCTAAAAATACAAGGGGTATTATAGACGACCAGAAGGAATTTTTTTGTAGCCCAAAAGGGTCCTCTCCTAGAACACAAAAGGGTTCTCTTCTTGAAGTCAAAAGGGTTCACCCACTAAAGATCTTCTAATGAAAAATAAAAAAGCTCATAGAAGACTATAGTATCTTCTCTTAGAAGTCCAATGAGTCTTTTTATAAAAGACTAGAGGGAATTTTCATAGACGACGAAAGGTCTTCTTGTTGTCAACTAAAAGATCTTCTTTCCGCAGTCGGGAGGTCTTCTTCTAGAAATTCTGATTTTTTTCTCCTAAAAGCTCTGAAGGTTTTTTTCTAGAACGCCAAAAGTATAAAAGGGTCTTCTGATAGATGGCCAAAGATCTTCTTAGGGCCAAAGTATCTTCTCATAAAAGACCAAAGGGAATTCTCACTGAAGATCAATGGATCTTCTCTTAGTAGTCCAAATGACTTCTCTTAGAAATCCAAGAGTCTTTTCGCACAGCACAGCAGAAGGTCTCCTCATAGACAACCAGAGGGTCATCTCATAGACGACCAGAAGTTCTCTTCGTTGACAACCAGAAAGTCTTCTCTAAGTTGTTCAGGAGGTCTATTAGAAGATCTGAAGACTTTCTTCTAGAATCCCGTGAAATATGGCGTCTGTTCTGCTTAAACAACGTAGGAGGAATTGTGCATCATGGCTATGAGAGCTCCCACACATGGAATCAAAGCAGCGCCTTTTAATGGGAAGAAGGTGAAATTCACAGGTCATACGCCGCACAGTCCAGACTTGGCATACAATGTCTTCTTTCTATTACCGTAAATCAAGACATAAATGCATGAAGACCGATTTTTATTACAAGACGCTGGCATTAACAGCAGCATTACCATGTTTTGGATGTGCCTTAATCGGGGCGGAAAAGTGCTTTCCTAATTAGTTTCATTTTAATCTTTAAACCAGAAATACGTATAGTAGACCTCGAATAAAGATAACACAAGAAACAATCGAATCGTCACAAATTTTATACAAATTATCAATAAGTGGCGCCCAAGCATTATGGGTAAAAATATATTATTAATTTCATATTTTTATAGAACAAAAACTTTGCCCAATTTTGAAGATTTTCACAAGGAAATTTCATCATAATGATCAGCGAGATTTCAATAATACAACCTAAACGTTCAACTAACTTGAGATGTATTATGTGGGTTATTGCAATATTTTAGAAATTTGTGAATATTTACTTGTTTACAGATATTTAAAGCTTTCGACGTTTACAACTTTACAATGGGTCTCTCTGAACATGGCTTCACAATAGGCTCTAAGAATGTCAATCTCTTGATATTAGGAACAATGAAATATACATCCCGCGAAATTTCCAAATTTATTATTTTTTAACAAATTTTGAATAAGTGGCGCCCAATCATATTAAGAGTAATATTTGTATTTGTTCCACAGCTAATTCTCCTGGGAATTTTCGATACTGAAAATTGGGACATATTGCTTTAAGAGAACGCGACTTAAATATTAAATTTCGGGTCAATTGTGGGTAGAAAATATTCCAGGTCTCATTTTGAACAGACAAATTTTTTAAATAAAAATGTGGGCATCCCGGTTTTTTAGATAATAGAATCGAAGAATATCTTATTATTTAAAATCAAATTCGATGGCGAAGAAGATTTTTTATCTATTTTTTTTTTTTAATTTGATTGAAGGCTTAAACATCGTATAGAAAAAATAAAATCTATCTCAGTAAGTGAGAAAATTCCCTATTTATTTCTTTCTTTCTAACTGAGAACGCATTTTCTACAATTTTCCCAAAAAAGAATGTGAGGAAGAGTGAGAAAGAGAGATGAATCATGAATTTTGATCAATAACTAATCCTATATTTAGTGACATTTTTAAAATCAAATTTTGAAGTTTAGTAAAAATTTGCATCGAAACATTTTCGAAACGAGGGCATTGCCTTCGAAGCACTTAACATCATGTTCCGCGTACGTGTGCTGTAAAAAACTGCATCCATGTTTCTTCTTTTTTTGGGATTTTAATTCGTTTTCTTATTTGGTTTTACTTTTTAAAAATTTGTTTTATTGTGAATGCATAATTTTTTTGTAAGATTTTTTCTTGTTCTTGTCTTTTTTGGTATTTGTTTTTTTTTTTTAATTTGTTTTTCTTTCTATAATTTATAGTAATTTAATATTATTGTTATAATTATATTATTAATTATTAAGTATTAATTTAATAATATATATAAAAACGACCTATAATATGACCGGGGTTATTTACCAAAACCGAAGCCGAACTTGCCAAAGAGATCTTTACCTTTCGACAGCACATTCACCGCCCGGCGCCGCTGCTGCGATACCTTTGAGACCGCCCAGCAGACCGGCACCGGGTCCTTGACCTTGCGGTGGTGGCTGTTGACCTTGAGGTGGCACTTGTGGTTGTTGTTGCTGCTGCTGTGGCTGTTGTTGTTGCTGCTGCTGCTGTTGTTGTTGGGCGCCGCCGCCGAACAATCCCCCCAGGCCGGTTGAAGCTTGCTGCGTTGGCTGCGCACCACCTGGTGGTTGCATTGGATCTTGTTTCGGTGGTTGTTTCGAACCAAATAGACCACCGGTGGCAGCCGAAGTAGCACCCGAGAGTAAGCTAGTTGCTCCGGATAATAAACCGCCTGAGGGTTGTGATACGGGGGGAGGTTGTTGTTGCTGCGGCTGTTGTTGTTGGCCCATCATGCCCATCTGACCCATTTGTCCCATCTGCTGCTGGCCGGGCATGCCAGGCTGTTGACCCTGCTGCATGCCCATTTGCCCCATCTGGCCCATTTGTTGGCCCTGCTGTTGTTGTCCCATGCCCGGTTGTTGGCCCATCATGCCCTGTTGACCCATGCCAGGCTGTTGTCCCATGCCCGGCTGTTGGCCCATCATGCCTTGCTGTTGACCCATCATGCCCTGCTGACCCATTTGCCCCATGCCACCCATTTGCTGCTGTTGCTGTAGTTGTTGTTGTGACTGCTGTTGTTGCTGACCATATGGTTGCTGTTGTTGTTGCATTCCGCCAACAACATTACCAGCGCGACCGATCATCCCCTGTAAGACATGAGACGGACATTAGCAATTGGCAAGGATGGCAAATATTGTCAATCAACTATTTGCATTTCGCAACAATAACAGTAGGAATAGAGAAAGTGTTGAGAAAAAAACAAACGAACAAACCAAAAAACAAAGATTAAAAATAAAAACAAGGAAAATTGGAAAAAAATCCATTACTCGAATAAATCCAAAAACAAACCGAAAAAATAGAAAATCTTGGCTAAAAGAAACTCGTTATACATTTAGTAACTGACAAAAGATATATTTATATATATGTATAAATATATAGAAAGAGAGAAATTTATATATAAATATTTTTTTTGTGGAATATACGAAGGATTGATTAACAATGTTGCGGGGCATCAGAACTTCATTCATTGAAATTTGAAGTGTTTCGTCTGGCGAAACAAAATACGCTGATTCCACTCGATTTAATTTGTCTCCGCTTTCACATCGTACATTTGTCTCGAATCGCAACAATAGTGTGGAACGTTTTTTTTTTTTTTTTTTGGCTTGATATGAATAAACGAAATATATGCATGTAGGGTAGGTATATTGGCCAATTTTAAAAGTTACTTACTACTCAGGACTACCGAACTGATGATAAGAGTTTTTGACACTTGACTTCGGAATCTACTCAAGTTTTTAATTCAATTTGATGTGTGCTGAAATTTAGGTACGATAGTTAGATTTTATTTGCTTAACATATCATCTGATATGAGTCAATTGTAAATTGTTTTAGGTAATTATCTCAACAAATAATGTTGATATAGCACTATATAATGTAGATTGTAGATTGATATTTTCACATTTATCTTTAGAAATTTTGCGATGTTTATTGCAATGTTTATTTATACTATGTAATAATATATTACTATTGTATAAAATTATACTTTCTTCATGCTATGAACACAATATTTTTTTTTATAGTACGAAAAGTTTATTTTGACTTTAAATTATTCAGGAGTGCCTAAATTATTCCTCAAAAATGCAAAATATTAAATCATTTTACAAACGACTCCAAAGGCCTGTTTACATATACCAAGTTGACAGTTGTAATCCAATGGACTTATTATGTGTGTAAGGCGTGTAACGAGATATGCCTACTGGCCTTAGTGAAAGAACGACTTGTGTACAGTACAACTAAAACAAGATAAAATGCAGTAAGTTCGGCCGGGCCGAACTTTGAATACCCTCCACCATTCGGAACGAATTTGGAAATTTTCAAAAAAATAAAATCCGTTAAAAGTTTTGTTAAAATTTTTAAAATGCCGACTATAGCCGATAAGTTGGGGTCAATACGACGTGGACCTACATTACCATTGTTTGTCATAAGCCATTACCATATTCAAATTCGAAACGTTGAATAAACGGTGAATAATATACCTAAAATCATCAAAATACCATATATAGAGAGGTACCGTTATATCGGAGCTATACAAAGACCTGGACCTGGATAGACAACCCTCTGTCACGGGCTGTAGCATCCATTACGAACTTCAAATACGACATCTCAAACAATTTCGGTGGGTACCTAAACCTAAACTCTTCAAAATACCGAATATAGGGAGGTACTGATATATGGAGCCTATACGAAGACCTGGGCCTGCATAGACAATTTTCTGTCATAGGCTGTAGTATCCATTACAAACTTCAAATACCAAATTTGAAACAATTCCGGTGAATAATGACGCTAAAATCATCAAAATACCGAATATTGGGAGGTACCGTTATATGGAGGCTATACGAAGATGTGAGCCTGCACAGACAATTTTCTGTCATAGGCTGTAGTATCCATTACGAACTTCAAATACCAAATTTGAAGCAATTCCGGTGAATAATGTCGCTAAAATCATCAAAATACCGAATATCGGGAGGTACCGTTATATGGGGGCTATACGAAGGCGTGGACCTGCATGGCCCATTTACGAACTTAACCTGCTTACTGGAAAAACAAACTTGTGTACAAAATTTGAGCCTTCTATCTCAATTCGTTCGAAAAATAGCGTGATTACAACAGACAGAAGGACAGACAGACGGACATCGCTAAATCGACTTAGAATTTTACGCTGATCAAGAATATATATATACTTTGTTGGGTCAAACTTTGTTTGGAATGACCAAGTTAATATACCCTCCATAGTATGGTGGAGGGTATAATAATGCAATTACCTGCTTTTACAAACGACACGATAATAGATTTCATGCCTCGATTCATGGTAGAAGAATATAGGTAGACGCGTCGACACAGCTGCTGGGACAATGAACTGTCAAACCAATTTTGGAATTGAAAATGTTGAATGATAAATTATTTAAATTTGTAAAATTGTTGAAAAACGCGAATTATAATAGCCTCCGAATGACTTAGTATAAGAAAACATATAAAAATCTACTTTTAATTTTTTTGACATATCAATGCTCCCAAGCGTTGATGCATCTACCTGTATTCTTCTGCCATGTCTCGATTTTCAAACTACAAATATTTTGGAAGCTTTTGTTTATTTACTTAGCGGTGTTCCCTTTTGCTTATTATAACGTTATCTGGAATATTGGTCAAATAACCTTAAATAATAATAATAATCATAATAATAATAAAATAATAATAATAATAATAAAAATAATAATAATAATAATAATAATAATAATAATAATAATAATAATAATAATAATAATAATAATAATAATAATAATAATAGTAATAATAATAATAATAATAATAATAATAATAATAATAATAATAATAATAATAATAATAATAATAATAATAATAATAATAATAATAATGATAATGATAATGATAATAATAATAATAATAATAATACTAATAATAATAATAATAATAATAATAATAATAATAATAATAATAATAATAATAATAATAATGATAATGATAATGATAATGATAATAATAATAATAATCATAATAATAACAACAATAATAATAATAATAATAATAATAATAATAATAATAATAATAATAATAATAATAATAATAATAATAATAATAATAATAATAATGATAATGATAATAATAATAATAATATTCATAATAATAATATAATAATAATAAAATAACTGCGTTCCTACGAAATTCATGTACTTGTTATGAACGCATTTATTTGAACTACGTAATATTGAGAATCCACTAACATGAATAGAAACCCCATAATTTTCATACAAATTTAGTTTTTTCTGTCAATTTTGAGAAAACCTTTTGGAGAAAACCTTCTTTTCTATCTACGGAAATTCGTACTCGTGAAAAAATATAAAACCCCATTAAAAGTATTCCGAAAATAATGAAAATCAGATTTTCAGCTTCGCAAAACAAGTGAAATATATCCCTGAAGCTATACCTTTTCTCTCTGAAATGTTAAAAATTAGATAAATAAGTTATTCTTGTTTCTTTGATTTATTTTATTATTTCTTGAAATAGGTTAAAATTTCGAAGGATGGATGCAAGCCAGGATTTTCTTTAAAAAACATGATCTGTCAGATATTTAGTTTCCATGGCAAAACTGGTGAATAATCTTATTGCGCGCCTTGCCATGTACGTTTCTTCTACTCATTAATTTGAAAACTTTTTCGTTTTTTAAGTTTTTACCTTACCTTTTTATTGTACCATGCAATTGTACTTAACCAAAGAAGAATATACACCTAATAGGTGTGAGACTTATTTGTAAACAAAAATTGTTTGGTTTACCAAAACCGGTAAAAAATAAATGCACTATTTTGAGCAAACAGAAAACATTTATTCAATCCATTTTATTTCCTCGGCGTAACCCATTGCATCATGTGGAATAACCGAATGTATTAACAAATAACAACTTGTTGGGAGCATGGCAGAATTAAAGAGTTGGTCTCATTTGCCAAATCAGTTGTGGTAACCCTTTTGGAGCTAATCTATCATTTTCAAATAAAATAACAAAAAAATTTAAATTTACTGAATTTTCTCTTGTTTTGAAAAGTTTTGTTTTTAAGATAAATTCCTCACATCTGTCTGTCAGAAATCTAACAAATATTTAACAATTCTTATTTAAAAGTTATACATCGTAAAAAACAAAGATTTTATTATATGTTCTCAATACAAAAATGTGTTTTGACAAAAAGAGAATACAACATGCAGTCCTATAACACGTTCACATAGGAAATGTTTACCCGGGTTAATCACAATAGTCAAATTAATAGCGATTGGTCAATTATCACAGTTAAGCTGGATAAATGGTTGTATGTAAACGTGCTTTTACTGTGTCGCCTTGGTTATTATAACCTGATAAGACGCAGGTATGCGAAACGCCTTGAAATATGCAATAGAAATCTGAATCGTAACCTAAAATTTCAACCACAAACAAATCGTTATAATAAACTTGAGTAGAATTCCTTTGTTTACTTCGTAATATATTTCATGGATTATTTTAGTAAATGTTTTGTTTTTAATGAGTTATGTATATGTAGAACTAGCAACGTTTTTTTATAAAAATCTTTTGGAACACTAAAACAAAAACAAACTATGCTTATGAATTAATATATGTAAAGCCTTATTTACACCAAATTTCTCCATTTCTTTTGATTAAAAATCAAGTAAATGCTTCGTAAAATACGAAATTTAGTTGTCGGCGTAAAGTAGGCTTAGGTTGTTAGTTTAGGTATATATGTATGTATATTTTCTTAAGCATTTAACCATAACGCAATAACAGTTATTCTGCTCTGTTTGTTTTCGATTTTCTGTATTGATTTTGTATGTTTTGAGTTGTGTTGGATTAATTTTTTTTCTTTTTTGTTATATCAAACTAAAATCAAAATAATTTCAACTAAATTTTAAATTATTTAATAATTAACGTACAGTTTTTTTCTTTGCAATTTATAACAAACATTTTGAAATGAAACGACAAATCATATATGGAAAAAGCCAAAAATTAAAAACGAATGAAACACAAAAATGATCGATTGTTATACAAGATACTGATGACAGAAGAACCAAAGAAGCCAAAAAGGAATGATTGATTGATTACACACTCTATATAGATATCATTATTTATAATATTTACGAATAAAAACTATAAGAGAACAGAAAAAACGTAAGGAAACGGAGGACATTTTGTACACATACAGTGAATCACATAGAAATTTTTTTACACACCATTTACATTTACATCCAATATGATTAGGAAATGAAAAAGAGTTATTTTTGGTTAAAATGTTTTTTGTTTGTTTTTTTTTATAGACACACGACTAATAAATATTTGTTTATATATATGAAGATTTTATACTTATGTATGTAGGTAGATATATAGGTCTTGTATTATATTACAAAATATTATAAGCATTTAAATTTGTTTGTAATATGCTTTGCTTCTAAGAGTTTTTTTCTATTTGAAGTTGTCATTTTTAATATGGCTTTAAATGTGACGATAGTATATTTACAGACAATTTTTTAATGAATTATGTTGAAAATTAAGATAATATTATTTTGTATATATTCATGAAGTGTTCTTTTCGCAACGTATGTTATTAGTAAATACCATTTTGGTTGGAGTTTATCTTTCAATAGTGGAAAATAATTTCATGGAAATAGAGATCGCTCTGCCCTACATTAACATACCCACAATCAGGGAGAAAGCTTAGCTCTATTGTATCCATATGAATTTTATGACTGTTGGGAAATCACTAATTATTGCAAAAGAATAAAACAACATCCAAAGGAGAATCGGTCTTTGAGGACTAATTATTTCGAGCGCCGTCTGTACGTCATTTTTAAGCATGTTTTTTATATATGACGGCTACTTCGTTTGCGAGAAAGAATGCCAATAGTAATTGTTGTGTTCCTGTACTTTATTAATATTAAAGGTGCTAAAGGAGGGAAATGTGAAATGAACTCTGAGAAAACTACGTTACCCAGAACGTACGAGAACAGAAAACTAGCAAAAATCTCCAAAATAGATGGCATTCTTTCAAATCACAATCTCAGCCAGAAAAAAAACTTCCAATAGTACTACTACGCTTTACTTTTTTTCTCTTAAATTCGCCTACAAATTTTACTATATTTTCGATACAGGAGTAGATTTGTAGAAAAAAGTGTCAAAAAATGGCAAAAGTAGTATTTTCATGACAGTTTCTGAAACGGCCTTGTTCAATTCTGAAAAGGAAGACAATAGCCAAGTCTTCCGAAAAACTAACCAACATCGTAGACTAAGTTCAGCGAGCGCCATCTATATTTCAACTCATTTATATTTAGTATTGTTTGGTAATATATTTTTGGTTTTGACAACCAGATGATATAGATATAGATATTCAATGTTACTGACTTAGCGGAATGGAATGTTTTATATCGTTTTTGCGTTAGAACTTTTTGTCTTATTTATTTGAGGCATATGCAACTAAATTGACAATTTAAAGTCCCTGGGCTTATTAATTTCAACATTTTAGTTCCATCTACACGTGGATACAATTGCATTTTTGTTCGATATGATAAAGAGGTACAATAAGGTGGTAGACCTGTTGCCTTTCTTCCTTTCTAATAGCGCATTTACATTATTAAAGACTAAACTACTGGATTTAATAAATCCAAACACATAGGATTAGTTTAGAAACCCTCAGGAGGATATAAATGCTACTCAGCTGACGTTTGTCAATCAGAGAAGGAAACACGCTAGCCTCCATTAAAAAAAATGTTATTGTTCGCAAGGCTAGTCCATTTAGGCACGACACACTCTAATTCATACTAGGGTTGAGAAATCTTGTCCACTCTTTCTCGTTTCTTAAAAGCAACTAGTTGCATGTAGTTCCTTCGTTCATGCATTCTTGTAGATTCATTCGTAAAAACTCCAATGTAAACGTAGCGTTAGAACTATAAAATGAAGCGACGTAAAAAGAAATAAATTTCAATAGCTCCTTTCACTTTTCTTGTAGTTTCTAGTTCATTCCGAAACTATACAACACTAATTCATACTGGTGTTGGTAATCTCGTTCACTTTTAAACGTTCTGTTTCTTAAAAGGAACTAGTTCCATGTAGCAAAGACCCAAAGTGGTAAAGCCTATACAAAATGCATTTGGAGCATTTTGACTCATGACAGAGGCATGTTAATATAAAAACTAGAATTACAGGGACGAATGACAAATAAAAATTTGACAAATCCAAAAATGTTGTTTCAGAAATTTATTCCATGGACCTTTCCAAAAATTTGCATATTGCTTTAGCGGTTCAAATCGGTTAACATTGGTAACTATGTATGTTGTTATATCATAACAGAGGTATTTTTCACAGGGTTGCCATATTTTTGATCTATCTTACCCTATATTTATATTTCTATGGCCGGTTATTACATCTTTCCGAGATATAGAAAAGTGATGTTATCGGACACATAAATCGTTTTTCGTTATTACAAGTTTCATTAAAGTATGAACTGTCCGATAAGCAAAAGGTCAGGCTACTGAATTCATGTTGCCATATTTTGCATTTATATGGCAATAAAAGCAAAATGTAGTTAAATATAAAATGGTTAACGCAAATCGTTTATTTTATATTGAAGAAATGAATTATAAATGTATTTATTATTATTATTATTATTGTTATTATTTGTTACACTGAAATTAAGATGCCATTGTGAAAAAATGCAGTGACTACCAGTTATTTTTACAAAAATCTTGCCATATCCCTGTTAAAAATGCATATATTTTAAATGAAAGATGTAACAATGACAACCCGATAATCACTTTTCTTAAGTAAGGGATAACAAAAGTGGACTATAAAGGAAAGATGTAACAACGAGCCTATATCGTTTAATATAGTTCCTTCATTTATGTATTTCTGTAGATGACAATATGAATATATTTGGCAGTGTTTAAGAAAAATTTGAATAGTCTATAATAGCAGGAGGTAGAATAAAGTAACTTTTTAAATAATTTTTTTTTTTAATTTTTTCAATGCATTTTTTACCATTTTATGTGTTTATATTGTTTTGAACAATAAATAATACAATTTAGAATTATTTCAAATTCTGATATAATAAAAGTGGCAATTTTATTTGCAGCCAATATAAATTGTCTTCAACATGTTTTAAAATTTAAAAAATTTGAAAAAAAATATTTTCTGCATAAAATGTTTTTTTAAAAGATTATGTTTTTTATGGTCGTAGATATCGAAAGCACTTTCTGTTACTTTACATTCCCTTACCATGATTCTGTCGTAATATAATTAATTTTTTAACGTTAATAGAGGCAGTGTTTTGCAATTCTGAATTATTTTTTGTGGGAAGAATCCATTCAGTTTTTTACTTCCCAGATAAAAACATATTTCAGAAATTTTTTTAATAATCAAATGCAGTTGTTGCGTGCTTTTAAATCACATTTGAAAAAAGGCTCTTCTACAGTGTTGCATTTTTACGAAGTTAAACTATCGTTTGGTTGTACCTTGTTCCCACATACGTTGAAAAATGCTGATACAAGACATTTTTTGTCACTGAAAGTCAATCGTAGATTGAAATGAGTGAAAAGACCTCGATGTACAAAACAGGTTGGTATAGTTTCGAGAATTTTCTTTCTAATTGGGAGGTACAAAAGAGACGCGAAATTATAACATACGTTGCGATTAGAACACCCTAATACTCTATGTCTAAAACTTTTGTAATGATATTATTGGAATTTCGCTCTGCTTTCATTGATATGGGTGGTTCGTTGGTTTTTTTAGTGGGTGGGTTGGTGGTTGTTAGAAGTTGAAGTGAATAAATCTGTCGTAGGTATATGTTTTGAGTTAACTTGCGGTTTTAATATGTGTCCAAATTTGGAATAGGGAAAACGTTTGTATGCAAACAAAAAATATTTTGATAGGGGAGAGAAAAGAAACAAAGCATGTAACGTAAAAATCAAAGGCTGAAAGCTGAAGTGAAATGAAAGTGAAAAATGAAACAGAAGAAATAACTGGATTTTCGATTTTGAATCAGGAACCAGGTTTGAATGTTCACCACTGTTGGGGTGATGGATAAAGTGTGGTGAGTTTTTGGTTGTGATAGTGTCAATGGGTAAACGTGGAATGTACTTTTTGTTTGTATGTAACTATGTTTTGCTAATGTAATGCCGTTTCATTGAAAATGTTTGCTAACATTGTTTTCTTCGATCATTTCTACACAAAGAGAGAGAAAAAACAAAAACAACTAATTTGTTTCTACAACGGGTGTGGGTGTTGCCAGTGTGTGTTTAACAAAGATTGCTGTTGCTGAACTACTTCTTTCGTTCATTTATTGATATTTTTTCTTCGACAATATCTAAAGCACAAAAATTATATTTTTTTGTTTTATATTCGTTGTTTTAAGCTTTCAAAATGTTGCTAGCTATACATAAAAGTTGATTGAAACTGAATTTGTTCATTTTGGTTTAATCACAATAAATTGTTGGAATTCGCTTACACTTGGGGGGGTAGTATGTGTTGGATAAAATTAGCATTTCGTTATGAAATTATTGCCGTTTATTTGTTTTTTTTTTTTTTTCTTAGATTTTAATTTCTTTCTACGAAACTCCAAATCAAACACAAACGACAATTAGTTTTTGGTTTGAAATGAAAATGAAAGCAAAAATTACAATACAACACAATTGGAATGCATGAATGTTGAGTTGTTGAGTATCATCTAATCAGAGACAGAGTTGTGTTGAACACAGTTGTAGTAGACAAGTAGTAGAAATAGTAGTTGATGTAGTAGTAGTAGTAACAGTTGTAAAGAGACAGTTCTAGGTAGGGTGTGATAGTAGTAGTAAAAATTGTACTTAAAACAGTGAGTGGAGTTTTTTTCGAGTTGTTTTTTTTTCATTTGAGGGGAGATTTTTTTTTTGCAAATATATTTAAGTTTGTTAAAAGAGAGTAGGTATAATGTTTGAGAGAGAGAGAAAGAGATATAACGTATATTTCAAAAACAAAACTAAAAAATGAAGAACAAGTTAAATGCATTTTTTCTTAACAAAAATGTAAAGAAGTTAGAGTATTTACCTGCGTTTGGTGATCGGGGGCAGGGTGGCCCGTGTTGTCTAACAGTGTAGGGGAAGCAGGGCGAGCATCTATAGCAACAAATATAACATAAAGACTTCACATTTACCACAGCAGACCATTACAAAATAAATTTTGTTAACTTAAATTCTTTTTGTTGGTATTGGTAGTTGTTTTTTTTTTCTTTTTTTCAGAAATAAATAAAAATGTAACAACGAAAAAGAAAATCAAAAAAAAAAGACAGAATTAAGAAATCATAGACAAGAAATAATTATATAAAAAAAATTCGATGCATTTCTGTTATTGTTTTTTTTTTTTTATTTTTTTGGAAGAGAACCAATTTGGAAAAAAAAAGTTTTTTGTTGTTTTTGTTAGTAATAATTTGATTTGATTTTTCTTTGGAGAGGCAACCCTATAACCACGAAATTCCATTATGTAGACAAAATACAGCAGCTTCTTAAGGTGTGGGACTGAATTAGAACTCCATTCGAATCTGAATTTGATCTGAATTTTGTATGTTTTCTATATAATTCACCGCAAGTTTGGACTTGAGATTCCACATACATATAAAAGGTTAACAGAATTTTATACAAAATTAAATATATATTAGAAAATAATTGAAAGAGAAAAAACGAAGGAGTAGCAAAAAAAGTATTTGCTTTGCTTTATAAGAAAAAGCCAAAAAAAAAAAAGAAAATTAAAATCAAATAAATTACTTTCAATAACAAGTGTTTTGTAGTATTACCTTTCAAATATGTTGTTGCATTTTGTCTGTATTACTTAATTTTACATAATAATTATTTATAAATTTTATACACTTAATAATATGTATTTGTAGTTGAAATTAAAATTAATTGTTTTTTTTTTTTCGTTTTAAATTATTTTGTATAGTGCCTTAGAAGCAATTGTTATGTAGAAATATTTATAAATAGTTGTGTGTGTGTTTGTGAATGTTGTTGTTATTGTTGTTTACTTTGTTGTTTTGTATAAATATGTAATTTTTTCTTCAAAAATTCGCAATAAAACACCGTAGCAAAAAATGAAAAACAAAATCGAGCAAACTATAAAACTATAAATATTTTTTTAAAACAGATTAAGCCCAGTTTACACTGATGCATATTGAACTTCCAAAATAAATTTTGTAATCTGTTTATAAGAATTCCTCACTAGCGGTGTTCACATGAGACAATTTTACTTAGTTGCCTATAATATTTGCTTCTGATCTTCGAAGAAAAAAAGTCCCAATTCACCCATATTTATTCATAAATATATGGAAATGCTCCCTAATTGGTTACTAAGAGAGTGTATCATTCAAATGAGACTATTAGGACAAGTCATTGTGTAAGTAAAAAATTCAAAATCTTTGTACTTCGGATAGCTTCGGTTATTCAGAGGGTGGAGTTGAAAACTTGCCACAGTTGCCGATAATCTCGGCGTTAACACTTCGATAAAGGCCAGTGAAGATTGGAAAATCGGCCCTGAGGACAAAAATCCCAAACGCTTTGTTGAAAGTATTTCGACTTTGAACCGCCTGAGAGTAGAAATCATTATGAAGGAATCTTTTGAAGTCGGAAAACTGTCATTTGCTTTGTAGAAACTGTTCTAGATGTTTCATCAGTTCGTCATAATCTATAAGTTGAATGTACTTCTTTGAATTCTATTTTAGTTTTACCGAAGATTGTAATTCTCCCAAAAAAAAAAAAAAACGAGAAACTGGTAAATATAAAATCATCGAAATCCCTATAAAAACGTTAGGTCTGTTTAATTACGACATAATGGTGACCCAACATGTATTTCGACTACCAACACCTTCTATGGAAGCAAACCTACAATGAAATGTCCCATCTTTATATACAAGGTGGCGCAAAAGTAATTCTCCTATCAGAAAATGCTATAAATTTTACGATTTGCAAATAATGTCATGCGAAATACACGTTAATAAACAGTGTTACGCTACACTGCTCCAGAACGCGAAATATTGGTGACTATTTATTTGACCTACGGTGACGGTGACTTGGCTACAACATGAATTTCGTCTCAGATTTCCTGGCCTTCCAACGCCTACTGGTGAAACACTGTGACGTTTAGCCGCTCGCCACGAAGAGACTGGCACAACATAAGATGCTGCCGAGAGTGGCAGACCCCAGAGTATCCGTCCTGCAGAGAATATTGCTGCTGTAGCCGAGGTTGTCATGAAAGCGCCGTTGACATCGACCAGGCGACGTGCCACGCAAATCGGTATCAGCGAATTTTGGTACATGATTTGAAGATGTTTTCGTACAAAGACCAGACATCCTTAATTACCACCAAGAAGCAAATGATTTTCCATCAAAAATAATCATAATAGTTGTGATTGGAAAACATGTGGTTCCAACATGACGGTGCAAACGGCGCACACTTCACATCGATGTGCGAAGGATGTATTTTCCGAGCGTCTAATCTCTCGTTTGGCGATTTGCACTGGTCAGACTGGATCGGACGAAAGCCACATCGGATAAAATTTGAGAAGATTAAAATGCATCGTTGAATGCAACAATCGCAGAACTGCAATTAAGACTCCTTTAACCTCAATATTGCTTCGGTTTACCACCGAAATACTACGAGCTAGTTTCACCTTTTACTCGAATTGAAATGGGATCCACTCATAGGGAGAAGAAAAAAATCTAACATGCTTTAGTTATCGATGTCGATCTCATTTTAGAGTGGGAGTTGAGTTTCTATGGAAATTTATTCTATCCACAGCTGCAAACGAAAAAAACTTAATACTTAATACTTTGAGTGCGTAGTCACAATCTATACCAATAAAGTATGTATATGATTATTGTTCATTTCGTTATTTAATTTTTTATTTTTTTACAAAAAACAGCTTCTGCTGTTTTTCTCTTTTTTGACTTTCCACAAGTTCGATGATACTCGTAGAGTAAGCTTTTACTCTCTTTCAAATGATTCGAATCCCATTCTAACTTTTCAAGCTGGAGTGACTCGAAAGAGTTTCCACATAAAACAAAAAGAGTGAGAAATGTCGTATAAAATTCGCACTCTTCGAGCATTTTCGCTCCCGGGTCGAACATGAGCAAATCGGTGCTGTAGCCAAAACACTTCAAAGATTTAGAAAAAATGGTGTGCCTTCACTGGTGGAAGTTTTGGTTGCGGAAACTACATTCTGTCAAATCGGTTACCATGTGCTCTTGATTTATTGATCTAGCCTGAATGTTGACGTTGGCTTCTTGTGAAGCTTCACATGGGATGTAGATTGGAGTTTCGTCTGGATTATGAAGTTTCACTATCAAACGGGGCCTTACACTTAAAATGCTGACATTGTTATTTGAAAAATTTGACTTGTTGGGGCGAGAGAAATTTGTGAATGAATATTTAATAATTCTTCTTTCGAGCCATGAAATTCGATTTTTTTCCTACTCTGAAGTTTTTGCTAAAGATAATCTGATTGAATCTGATCCTATCAATTTTGTGCAAGCATCCTGTCCCGGCCCAGTCACCTTTCCATAAAGGTTAGCGAATTCGAAAATGAGAACTAAACAGGATTTTAAGCTGGAAAAAGCAGTCGAGTCTGTGGACAGTCTTGGAAGGTGGCATTACAGGACCTCTGTTTATATTCATATGTATGTCAAAGGTCAGTCGGTCGTCAGCGAACTCAAGTCTTGCACCAAGAACTCGATAACGTGGTTTATAAAAGGTTTCGACGATTAGACCAAAAGTACACTCCACGAAAAGGCGGATCCTATATGGAAGTTAAAAATTGCTTGAATGTTATCCAAGGCAATCTAAGAGTCTATAAGTGTGAGCCAAAATGTTCGAAATATAGTGAAAGTTTATTCTAAGAGTGAAATCGGAGTAAAGGAAATAATTTTACTATTCTATTGTGTTCGTAGGTGTGTAGAACAAACAATTTTTGGCAAAGGTAAGAAGTGAGTGTGATTCTCATTCTCTTGTGAATGCTCGACACTTAAAGAGCTTGCTTTTCACTAAAATTTTCATATCAAAAGAAGAAAGAGCCAAGTGACCATGATATTGGTAGTGATCAGTAAATATTGCAAACCTGACAGTTTCGTTGCTCTCTGTAATAGAGAGTAATATGAAGTTATGCCAATGGCATAGACAAATGAAGATATAGACAACGAAAAGTTAGTTTAGTCTTTTTATCCAGGTGGCTCTCATCATGTTTTGCATAGTCAACATGCTGATTTACGCGTTCAACCCACTCGACTTCGAAAACACATTTTATTGTTTTTCAAGAATTTTACTTGATTATTCCGGAATTTTTTGATGTCATTTTGATGGAACAATTTCCAACCGACAAATATCCTACAGTTTTTGTTATTTTTAACGTTTTAGAATTGAGTGACTTCAATATTCCCACTCAAACCCCTGAAACGATATAGACGACATCTGCTGCTTCGATTGTTTTCGAAGATAAACGGTGAGAGCATTTCGTTGTCTATATTTTCATTTGTCTATGCCAATGGTGGACTATTCCAGACTAAAAAATCAAATGATTGAATCTTCCACAGTAATAAAACAAACGGGTATTGGAAAATTGCAAGAGAATAATCTGCTCGATTGCGAGCGTATTTTGACCCCGCTCAAAAATGAGCGAAGCATATTTGCTCTTAGTCGAGTTACATAGATAAATCGAATATTCCTTCTTGAATTCGAGTAGTTTTTGTAGGTCTGTTTATTATCATGTTTCACTTGGGAATATTCCTGGTCGTTCTTGTATCAAAGCTCCTACTTTTAAGACAGTGGTCTACCAAATTCTTTAATTATAAAGACAGAGATTATGCCCATTCAAATACTTTTTATGGATCGAAATTCTACATTTTTTATAGAATAAAGGTCTAGTTTCATTATGGTTTTGTAAATGTTTCAATTTCTAAATTTAAATGTATTTGTTATTTTTAATCAGCGTTTGTACTTAACCCCGCATATAAATTGAAAATACTTCATCATTTCCGTATATTGATAATTCTTTATATTTAACCCTTAAACCACACTAACCCATATACAAGTTGTGACAAAAAGTATTCATAAATATATATATCATTTTCCATTTCGAATGTGCTTTAATTTTATAAAGACTTTAATTTCATAGATGACTTTTGATTTTCGGTGGTTTAAGGGTTAAATTAGGAGTTACAGAAGTTTCTCTTTTCCTAGCACAAACTATAAGTTGTGAACATAAGGAGTAAAGAAACTAAGAAATAGAAGTAAAGGACTTTGGCATGCTTAGTATTGAGACAAAAAAAATCATAAACTTAAAATAGGGGAGCAAACACACAGACACAACTTTTACAGACAGGACACGCATAAAATACTTAAGATTTAGGAATTAGAAGACAAGTTTGGTTGTTTATTTTTTTTATTTAGAAACATATAAACACATTTAGAGGTGAAGAAGAATAAGAATTAGATTCGAAACAATAATATTTTTGGAGGACAACGACAAATGAGTAGTAATAAATAGACGAGAAAAATAATGAGAAATGATTGAAAAAAGAAAAGAAATAAAAAATATGCCATGTACATTCAAAACATAATGAGTGGTGGCAGGATGTTCCAGCTACACTTTTTTTAAATTCGGGCATTGAAACAGGATTTATTGTGGACAGGTGGATGGAGGGATGGAAAGGTGTTGACATTGCTGGGGTGAAAATGTCTTCAACTAAAACATATCTTTTTTTTTGTTTTGGTTATAAATTCCATTTGTTTGTTATCCACTTTTGATTTTCTCGTATATCTCTATTTAATATTAGTTAACAATTACAAACAACAAGAACAACAACTATATTCATATGTATGTATATTTGACAAAGAAAATCAAAATCAAGAAGTAGAAATGATATTATTACAGAATTATTGTGCCGAAATTATTTTGATTAGAGATTAAAAAAATGGAAAACTGAAAAAAGTTTTAAAAACCAAAACCAGAATGAAAATAAAAATTCAAAAAATATAATACACAAAATAAGAAATTTAAATAATAATAAATTTTTAATAATAATTTTTTAAGTATTTTTTGTAGATTGTTTTATTTGATTTCTTTCTTTTTGCAGTGTTTTTGTTTTTGGTTTCGAAAAGGAGGCCTAAAGTAGTAAAGTTTGTTTTTGAAAGACCTAATCTTTACCGATATCACAATTGTTTTTTGCTATGAAATTTTGCTCCGCAAATGTTTTTTTTTTTTTTCTTCTCAGAACCAATATTAAATCTCACGTTAAAGAAAAACTTAAAAATACAAAAACGTAAACTTTTTACAAAAACAAAACGAAAACATAGAATATTTTTTAAAAAAGAAAACAGAAAGAAATCCTTAGATACTGTACAGTACTGAGTGACTGAATTATTTTATTTTTTTGTTTACAGGAAAAAATATTTGATAAAATTAATTATTGTTTTTTTTTTTTCTTTTGGTTTTTTAACTTTTTTGTACAAAGAAAAAAATAGAGTCAAGATTTTTTTGTTGATGTTGTTAGACAAGAAAATTGAATACTTTTACTTACTCTTTCCTTGGGGACCACGTGGCCCAGCCATACCAGGCATCATGTTGTCGCGCGGCGGTGGTGGAGGTCCTCTAGCACCCGGCCCTTGACCTCTGCCCCTTTGACTGGCCAAGCCACCGCGTCCTGCAGGGCCACCACCTTGCATCATTTGATTACTATATGTGTCGGGCGCCTCGGCTAAGAAATTCGATGGCACAAGGCCACGAACACCATCCAATTCGCCCATATAGAAACCATCTTCATCCATATCACCATACACAAGTATGATTTCACCCGTTTTGAAACTTAATTCCACTTGCTGATTGTTTTTTTTTGTATTGAAATGTTTGGTTTCGTTTGGGGGAAAAACAAAAAACAGATGCAATTAAATATATACCCTTATGTATGTAAAACAGATAAAGAATGAAATCTTTCAAAAAAAAAAAAGTTGAACGCCAGCAGAGAAAGCAAAAATATGCAACAAGCGTTGTTGTCGTAATATCTAAGCGGTTGTGTGATAGGCATTGTTGGTAGGTGGTGGGTTGGTCTTTGCGTTGGTGGCGGTGGTGGTGGTAGGTTGTAGGTCTCCATGGGAATTCTAGCAACGAAGAGCCTTAAAATCGGTTAGTATAAGTTTCGAGGTTTTAAGTACTGGATTTTCGTAAAATCGTTTTACAATTTATACCTTCGTAAATTTATTTGTTACGTTTAATATATGTTTGTTTTATTAATATATAATACAAAGTTTTATTTATAATTATTTCCTTTTTTCTGATTTGACCTACTTTTTTAATTTTTTTTTAATTTTGACAATTTTGGAAAAGATGTCGCCGTTTGTTGAAGATTTATATTTATTGTGTATTTTGTAGGCGTTATGTATTATTTCGACAATTTTGTACGATTTTAATTATTATTTGTAAGTTTGTAAGTATTTGTAAGTTAATTATTATTTGTAAAATAGTATATATTTAACCGAGAATTTTGAAGTTTCTTACGGTACTATCTCTGACTCAGTCCCTCATTTAGTGTAGCTCCTTTATTTGACTTTTAAGTTCCAATTTGTACCATTCATGTGAGTATTTTAGGAACGTAGATAACCGAATAACTGCAGGTTATGAAAGTAGAGCCAACAAGTAAAAAAGCAGTAACTTTGAATACCCTCCTCCATTTGGAAAGAATTTGGAAATTCAAAAAAACTATAAAAATTCTGCCTATACGAAGACGTGGACCTGCATACTTTTATCATAAGCCATTACAATATACAAGCACGAAACTTGAAAAAAACGAGGAATAATGTAGATAAAATCATCAAAATACCGAATATACGGGGCTTATACGAAGACCTGGACCTGCATACACAATTCTTGGAATCCGTTGATGTGTCTTCAATATTGCAAATAAAAATACGACAAATATTTTAATTGACCTCCACGCGAGTCAACGAAGGGATCTTTCGGTTAAAAACTCCCTTTAAACGGATCCCTCATTCGGGTTCAAAATATTCTATTGTCATAACATTCCACTGAAGTCCTAGAAAACGTCAAGAGTCCAACTCCGATCTTAACGCGAGGAATCCATACACGGTGAGATGAACGGTAACCAACTTCAGACTGCTGTCATTTCTAAGTCCGACAGCTGTCAAATTTATTCCAGTGACAGCTCATTATATTGATTACAAGCGTACAAAAGCATTTTGGTTAGAATTTTCCAGAAGAAGAAGTTATTAGTGATGGAACTCAAGCGTCATAGTGTGATTTCTTTATATTTGGCGGGAAAACCAGAAGTGGCTATCGTTAGCGCACTCCAGCATTTAAATGTGAGTAAATATTTTGTGTCTCGTACCATCGCTCGTTATCGTGATACTGGTAGCGTAGCCCAAGGAAGTGGACGGAAAAAAACGGCAACATCAACATAAATGGTGCGAAAAGTCAAAATGGCTCGTGAGCTGAACGTATCGCAATATTCCATTCGGCAAATATTGAAAAATGAGCTCGGGATAAAGTCATTGAAATTCCAAAAAGTGCAAAACTTACACCGCAACAGAAAGAAAATAGACTCAAAAGAGCTAAAGAGTTGCTTCGCTTGGCCGAAAGTGGTGAACTGCCGAATTTGGTTTTCTCCGATAAGAAATCATTCGTTGTCTAGCAGTTTGAAAAAAAAAAAACAAAATGATCGTGTTTACTTGCCAAAGAGGTCAGCTGAAAATGTGAACCTTCGATTAGCCATCAGAACTCAAGTGCCGGCCATGGTGATGATGTGGGCCGCCATAACAGCCGATAGTCGCTCTCCGCTCATATTAATCGATCGTGGCATCAGAATAATTGTCGAATATTATAGAAAATATATTCTGGAGGGTATATTAAAGCCTTGGGCACGCAAACATTTTGGCCGCAGACCTTGGACATTCCAACAGGACTCAGCACCATCGCATTTACCAAGCGCCACCCAAGAATGGTTACAAAATAAAGTTCCTCGCTTCATTTCCAGCGCCCAATGGCCACCAAAATCTCCGGATACCAATCCATTGCACTATTGTGTCTGGAGTATTTTGGAAAGCAAGGTTGGCACTAAAAAATACCAAAGTGTCGAACACCTGAAGCAAGCGATTCGTCGGGAATGGGCCAAAATACCACAGAGCAACATTCGGGCAGCGTGTGGCGGTTTCATTGACAGTTTGAAGGCCATAATTCGTGCCAAAGGTGACCAATGCGAATAAGCCTAAACTTATTCTAAAAGTTGATGCTATTTCCGACATTGTTTGCTTTCATTCAATAAAATAAATAAAATTTAAAAATTATGCCGTTTGACTTTGTTGAAGGTTTTTATCTCACCCTGTATAACCAAAGGAAAGTACATTTCAATCTTACAAACGTTAAAAATTTTCATGAATTCGGAAATAATTATAAATAAAACCTTTTTGATTTAAATGGGTAAAATATAGGTACTGTAAAATTTAAATAAATTCGTAGATATGTAAATCAAGTTATTATGAAGACTTCGGACACTTATATGGATCTAGCCATTTATACTCTATAGATAAAGCTATATTCCAATATTTCCAAAACATTTAACATTTTCCATTGGAAAACAACAACAAAAAACTCACGTTACGACGTCGAGGAATGTCTTGGGCAAGACTATCAAGAAATCCCCCAAATAGACCTCCTCCTCCTCCACCCATTTTAGCAGCCTTACGCTAAATAAATACGCACACACATACACATACAAATACATAAATACATTTAACAACATTGACAATACTTACTTCCGCATCCACATTCGGACTTAACTCTTGCGGATCATAGTCGTAGAGGGCGATCATCCGTTTGACCGGCATATTCGCATATATGTCACCCCAACGGTCGCGACTAACATTGCGCATACTTTGTTGTGTGCCCACCTGACCGGGCATAACTTGTGCAGTGCCGCCAGGTTGTTGAGGCATTTGACCCATTTGGCCGGTGCCATCATCAACCTCCGTCACCATATTGTGGGGAACATAACCGCGACGACCGCGCAGCTCGCCCCAATAAAAGCCGTCAGCATCCTTGTCGCCATACACCTAAATCATGGGGGAGAGAGAATGGAAGCAGAGAATACAAAATTATTAAATGAGACCATAATGCAATTCCAAAACCACATAACGGTTATCAAAGTTGTTGATGTTGCTGTTGTTGGTAGTAGCCTTTGGAAAGGGCCATTTCCAACATTGGAACACTTTTATTTGATTATTTGATTTTATTTTGGTAAGAATGAATGCACAAGAATGATGCACAAGTACCAAATACAGAACAAGGTGAACAATCGAAAACAAGAATACTCTAATCTAAATAGGTTATATAGGCATATTTGTTATATTATATATTATCGGTTTATATGTATAGAGGTATATATAGGTAGGCTGATAGGAATAAATCATTATCATCATTGCAACAACTATTCTATCTAGGGTTACTAACCACTAAATGGACAGATGACAGGATGAATGGTTCGGGGGGAGATTTGGTGGTGGAGTGGCAGTGGTAATAGTAGTGGTGGGTGGTATTGGTGGTGATGGATGTATTTTTGTATTGAAATATTTGGGGTGTTTGGGGCGGGGGTGGTTCTAATGATTTGACAACACAACTAATTTTTTAATGGAATCAATTACATTGTTTGTAAATCGAATTATGTGAAGCTAACCGATCAAACTAAATATTTAAACTACCAATTATTACAGATTCTTGAGTTGCTCAATTAGATGCGGTTCTTTTAAAGCGGGTTCAAACACTTTTCGGGGTTGACCACAAGGTGTCTATTAATTTCCTTTTTTCTTTTTATTTTTCTTTTTTGGTTTGAGGGTTTGTCCAGTATTGCTAATCTTACCTTGGATTATCATTTCGATCGGGGCACTCGAACTTACTTTGGCAGATGGCTGATCAACTACAATCTTCATGTCATTACATTAATTATTGCATCAAATTAACATTCATTCCAATATTAATTAGGATCATACAAAAATTTACTGAGAATGTGTGAGTGCTTGCTAAGAGTAATTAATTATTTGATTGAGTGAAAGAGTTTCTTCCAACACCTTTTTCAAGAAATTTTGAAATTTAAAATTTATTAAGAAAATGTTGAATATAATCTAGGAACCTGATAAACCTACATTAAAGAGGACCTCCCAACAATAAAATATCAGGCAGAACCAAGCGCCGGTGAATTGGCGAATTTGTATCATCGACTTTGGAAGAAGGTAAAACATTTTGTTTTTATATTGAAAATGTTTAATGTAAACAATTAAAAACAAGCTTAGTTTGGCCGATCCGAACTTTCAATACCAGAAAAGAAAACTTTTAGAAATAAAAGTATCGGAAGATTCAATATTCTAACTCGCTTCATTTTGAAACTAGATCAAAATATCGTAAAGGGAGACAATGTTAAATAATGATATACCAAATCTTGAACCAATATAGAAAATTCTCTGCTACAGGATTTGGTTTATATTGAGAGTGTGGAAAAATCATAAAAATCTCAATGTCGGGAAATATTGTCACCAGACGTGAATCCCATTTCAAAATGTATATACAGAATTTTAAACAAGTCAGTTGGAAAATATATTGTTAAAATCATAAGAAATGCGAGTTTCGAGATTTACCATTAGCTTGCACCTATGCAGACAATTATCGGGAAAACAGAGGAAGGACTATTGGTACTATCATTAAGGTTAACCCTCTTACGATAACAGATGTTCCTTTTATGAAATCGATAAAAAAAAATTCAAAACTATTAGATTCTTGCTGTTTTTTGAACATAGCAAATTTTAGATAGGAATCATAACTGGAAAAATCAAATCCAATATAGAGCTAATAAGGTTCATAGATAATAAACATGATGGAGGATAATAAGCTCAAAATGGTGATTTGGTCCTAAGGTGACTCATTGGCTATTCAAGGGCATAATTACATCCATTCTAACATTCAAAGATTTTGAAAAAGTCCAAAGAACAAATATTGATTGAACCCCTGAAGAGGTGTCATCTTGACACTGTTTTAATACGAATGCTTCGAATATAAGAAGATAAAAATAGTACTAATTAGTATTAACCTATGGCCAACTGCTGTAAAAATCCTTACAGACATGCAGCGGTTAGATGTAACGAAATAAAAGATTCACAAATAAATATTTACCAGACATTAATCTGATCTAAGTTGGATCTAAAATCACTATTTACGAAGGTAGAACTAGAGAAATGTTTGTAAAGTTTCCAATTTCGGCGACACAGCCTGATTTTTCGAATATTTGTACCATTTGTGGAAAAGGCACAGGATTTTCCCACAAGTATTAGCCATTATTTCGATGGCTGTCACTTTTGAAGTGACAATTACACTGTGTAACACAAAAAATAATTACAGAGAAAATCCAGCAGATTAAGAAAATAAAACTAAAGAAATAAAACACGTGTATCGGCATTTTGAAAGTTCACATCGCAAAGTAACCTAAACAGAAGGGGCAAGGGCTCTTCCACACTTTTGGAAATTTTCGGATTAAGATTCCTCTGAACCCCTGCATTTTTTGGCAATATTTCCAATAATAATAACAGTAATGTTTTGTTATATTAACCCTTATGGAAGTCAAAAAGGGGTCTTCTAGGTTCCAGAAGTCGTCAAAAGTCTTAATCTTACATAAACATCAGGAATTTATAAATATTAAAAATACATTTTTGGGTTAAAATTAAGGCAAAATATCTCCAACAAAGCATCATTTTAAAAGGACAACGCCAAGAACAAATATATTCTTCATTAAATTTCACTATAAGTTACAAAAGAAAATAAATCTCTATTTTTATTGCATATCAAAAAAAAATATTTGCAATAATGTTCCAAAAACCCTGAAAATATTCCTTAATTTTTTGATAAATTTTTTTGTACCAATGAATCTGGATATAATCCAAAAATCTCTGTCAAATTTTAAAACTCTTTCCTAAAAGTTTCTAAATATATCTCAAAGAGTAAGAGTCTCTGGGAATATGGTAAAAACTATGTAAGGGCCTTAACAATGTTTGGCCTACGAACCATAAACTCTTTATGGGGTTAAATCTACAAACGAGTACTGTCAAGTTCACTTGGAATTTTCCACAACCAAAACTGCCTGTTGTACAGTGAATTATAAGAAAATTTTCGGAACTCGGAAAAAAAAATCTACTTTTTTTCAATGAAATTTAATATACAATAATTCTTACTTTGATACTTTACTTAAAAATTAGTTATAAAGCAAGATTTTGATTAGGATTGGATACGTGTTAAGTTGATGATTTGTTGTTGGCTTCAAGGGCTGCTCGTGAAAGCCATTTGGCTGAAAGGCAATAAATTAGTAAAGACAGACCTTTTTCATTATTATGAAAAAACAAGCAATCATTTACATACTCGTATCTTAAAACTTGAAGTTTTTCTTTGCATACCCAAGTAACACATCGCATTGGAATACTCTTGGTAGCAGTCTTTTTCGCCTTCATGCATTAAAAAATGTGGTGCTGGATATTTGTGAGGGGGTACCAGAAGGACTTGATCTATGTGTCCCATCTTTATGTCAGTTTCAACATTTATAGAAATGTTGAAAAGAAACGGAGACACATTTTACATTTTATTTAAGTTGGGGTTACCTGAAGTGCTAAACTCGATTGTCTCCTATCGCCTCATACAAACATTATGATCTGAGAAGTTTTTCTTTGGAAAATTTTGATTTCTCATAATTTTAACCCTTTGTGGAGGATTTACTTGAAGGAGTGAAACGATAAACTTTCTTTGCTTAAAAAAAGATTTATTTTCCTTCTTGAAAATATTGACCATTTTTGAGGAAGGTACAAGAAGCAGAAACCATTTTTTAAGTCGATAATATGACCATGTACATTGTCTTCGCAATATTTACGATTGGGAAAATATTCCATGATGATATTACCGCTAAGCAATTGAATGAAAGGGTTTTTCGGTCGCTTTATACAGAAATGTTAAAAATCTCATTCAAAATAATGTATCAATGTCTACATAAGGCCTCAGACCGTGAAGCTAATATTAACAAGTAAAAAAGCAGTAAGTTCGGCCAGGCCGAACTTTGAATACCCTCCACCATTTGGAACGAATTAGAAAATTTTCAAAATAATAAAATCCATTGAAAATTCTGTCAAAATCTTTAAAATACCTAATATCAGAAGGTACCGATATATGGGGGGTGTACGATATTGTCGACCTATATAGACATATCTATGTCTGGGGGTAAAGTACTCACAAAGAATACCTTGTGTAGAATTTCAGACAATTCCGTTGAAAAATGTGGGTAAAATCATCAAAATACCGAATATCGGGGGGTACCTTTATATGGGGGCTATACGATATCGTGGACCGATATAGCCCATCTTGGAACTTGATCTGCCTGCAGACAAATGAGAGATCTGTGCAAAATTTTAGTTTCCTATTTTAATTCGTTTAGCGTGATTACAACAGACGCACATACGGATGGACAGGGCTAAATCGTCTTGGAATATATATACTTTGTTGTAATTTTGATATTGTATCGGCATATTAACAAAAGGTTGAATGGCAAACTGTTTAACTAATTCTATTGTTTTTAGAGAACATTTTTCAAAAGGTGTAGGAAGTAAAACTCTTGGCAAACGAAAATACTGCCTATTTATTTGTAAATTTGATTTTGGGGTTTTTAACTTTTTCTTCTAACAAAGAAAACTCAAGGCGTATTCTAGTTTTTTTTTTTGTGTTTCATTAGCCTAACAAACAATGTCTACTAAGTAAATACCAAGGCCAAGCCAATTTCTGATCTTTGCACACAATGCAAACTTTTTTGGAATATAAATTTTTGATTTCTTTTCTTGTTTCTTTCAAAAGTTCAAAACAAAAACGAACCGAAAACAGAAAAGAAATGCTGTAACTAAATTCTAGCCAAGAAGCAGTTCTGTCGTTGCGTAACTTACCTTTATTGTATCACCCTCTTGGAATGGCAGTTCTTCGTCACATCCATCTGGATTGGGACTCATTGTGCTTGGATCATAGTCGAACATAGCAACGAAATAGCGTGGCTTTTTCTGTCCGGCCATTTGTTGTTGCTGCTGTTGTTGGGGCGTGAGACCCTGTTGGCCGGGCATCATTTGTTGGCCCTGTTGCATGTGCTGGCCCTGCTGCATTTGTTGCTGCTGTTGCATTTGCTGTTGTTGTTGTTGCTGCTGCTGCTGTTGTTGGTTGAGCGGACCTCGAAGGCCCATAGCACCCTGCATTTGGCCACCTTGCATGCCGGGCTGTTGCATTTGCCCAGGCATTTGACCTGGCATCATGCCTTGCTGCTGCATGGGTCCACCAGGTTGCATTTGACCCGGAGGGGCAGGTCCTCGTTGGCCGGGGAAACGCTGCTGTGGACCCATGGGGCCTTGAGGTCCATACGGTTGTTGTTGCTGTTGCTGCTGCTGCATACCCTGAGGTCCTTGTGGCCGCATCATGCGTTGCTGCTGCTGGCCCGGTGGGTAACCCTTTAGTTTCAATTCAATGGTTTAAACCCGAATTAAATTATTTTTCAAATTGATTTTAATTTTAGTTTTTTGGTTTTGGAAAAGATTTGTTTTTTGTTTTGTAAAGCAAAATTTTGTAAATTTCAAATGTTTTCAAATGCAAAGTTTAAAGTTTTTGTAGTTTTGAAACTGGCATGGTATGCAATTCGTATTCGTATTGTTAGAGATAGAGACAGGCGCACACACACTGGGACATTTGCGGGCGCACGTTCTGGCCATAAACTAAAAACAGCTCTGAGACCCACATCCAGATGAATCACACTGCGGACATTGCCATGTCGTTCAAACTTCACGGAAAGCTCAATCAAAATAAGTTTTGACACCACAAATGTCCCAGTGTGTGCATGAAAGAGTAAAGTTTGTTTTTAGTATTGAATTGGATTTTAGTTTTGGGGGGTTAAAATATTTCGAAAATAAAACGAAACGATATATGAATTTAGTATTGGTAGTAGTATTGGAACAGAGAAATCATAATTGGGTATTGGGTGGGTATTAGTAGTAGCACTGGTAGGTAGTAAGTAGTAGGTCTGATTATGTACTTGGGTTTGGAGGCGGGTTGGGTTAGTTGGTTGGTTGGTAGGTAGATAATAGTATATAGGGTATTTGTTTTTTATTTTTGCAGAACAAAGCTAACAGGAAACACATAATTTGATATACATATGTATTTTGAAATAAAAAAATAAGTTTTCAACTCAAAAACAAAGCCCAAACGGATACGATTTGAACGGCAAAGTATAAAAATAATAAAAACAAAACGAATAAAATCAAGAGAAGTACAAAGCCATTGAATATGATACACATAGAGTTAGGTCAGTTTATGAGTGAGCGAGTGAGTGTAACCTAAATGACAGTTTGGTTAGGTTACAAAGACAACCATTGTTTTTTACAGTGTACTTGAGAGAGTATTTTTTACATGGAATGTAATTGTTAATGTGGTGTTGTGATTTTAATGTTCATGTACACTGTGAGAAACAGCTTTAATTTCGAAATGATGTTTATGTTTGTAATGTTGACCTAACTGTTTGTTGTGTTCACTATTCCTAATGCTCTATTTTTGCTTTCGAAAGATGAAGGAAAAATCTATTTTTCAGTAATAATTTTAAAATTCTTGGGGAAAAAATTAATATTTATATATTTTCTTAACAGTACTAATCACAAAAAGATATTTGTAAATGGTGATGGAGAATATTTTAAAAAAAAATATATATTTTTCCACTTCTCCGTTAACATGATCATGATACTATATGATACCCTACACCAATATGCGTTTTAGTAGAGCTCTCGTAAAAAAAAAAATTAAATTGGGAATTTAAGTGAAGTAGATCATACCAAATATGACCCAAATAACGTTGCTGTATGGTGCATGATATGACTTCGATAAGGATTATATTATAAAATATTTATTGGAGCAATAGATAACCGGACCGAGTTTCACCGAATAGTAAAATTCGGTTAAATATAAAAAAATCTATTCAATTTTGGCTGATATTACTTAAATGGTGAGCAATAACCAATCGGATGAAGAAGCTATAGCTGTATAAAGATCTGGGCCGATATTGTTAAAATATGGCAGAAGTATTTTCGAGCAGTATCTGATGCCCGGTATCCAATATCATGGTTGATGAGAGCATATTACGCTTTTGAGGGACTTTAACACAAGATCGGATAAAACATATATATTGGAGCTCTAGCTATATCTGAACCGATTTTCACCAAAATCTGAAGCACTTGCTTTTAGGCTGAATTCCAGCGGAATTGTCAAAATTCAGTCCATTTGGGTTGATATTAGCCATTTGGTGCAAAATAAATCTGATATTGGATAAAAATATATATGGTCTGATGCGAAATCGATCATAGATATTTTCGAGATCTATAAGCTATCTAGCACCAAATATCATTCTTGTGGAGTGCATATTACGCGTGTGAGAGATTTTAAACCCCAAATCGGATGAAACATATATATGCAAGCTATGGATATACCTGAACCGACTTTCTCCAAATTTTATGTACTTGCTTCTAGACTGAATTCGGTTGGACGTGCCAAAATTCAGGTAATTTGAACTTATATTGGCCATTTGGTGCACAAGTAACCCGAACTCGATGGAAGATATATGGGAGCTATATCTAGATCTGATCCGATAATATCACCAATCTCAATACAAATATTATTTGTAAAATTTCATCTGAATCGGATAATAAATGCGACCTGAATTTTGTTCACAAGAATACGTGACTAACGACCGGTCTGATATGCATAAATCGACTCAGAATGTGATTCTATGTAGATCTTCAAAAGTAACCTTTCTATGTTACAAACAAATGCACAAAGACATAATACCCCCACCACTATGTGGTGTAGGGTATAAAAATTTGAATTTGGAAAATGAGTGTTGATCCACATTTTTGTTGTTCGAATGCAGAGTGTAAATAATGCCTTTATGGATGCACGTGCTACTTTGGAGTTTACCGCATAAAAATACAGTGATGCATGTAGATTCCACACCGAATTTGTAATTAAACAGCTGGACCCTTTATGATTTTATATATTTTGTGGTTTTTAAATAAAAATAAAACAAATTTTGGAATTTAAGTAATGGTCTCTGGTACCCATTAAATTCTTCAAATACGAATTTTTAAACAAAAATGTCGCTGAGATCACCAATATACAGAATATAGGGAGGTAACGTTATATGGAGCCTATACGAAGACGGAAATTTATAGGCATAAGCTGTAATACCCATTACAAACTTCGAATACGAAATTTAAAACAATTCGAGTGAATGATGTCGCTAAAATCTTCTAAATACCGAATATGGGGAGGTATCGTTATATGGGGGCTATGCGAAAACGTGGAAACATGGCCCATTTATGAACTTAACCTGCCTACTGGTAAAACACAGATGTGTGCAAAATGTTAACCTTCTATCTCAATTCGTTCGAAAGATAGCGCTAAATCGTCTTAGAATTTTATGCTGCTCCAGAATAGATAAGATGAAAAAACTGCAACCAACTTCAGATTGCTGTCAATACAAAGCCACTCGTCCGACAGCTGTTAAAATTATTCCAGTGACATCTTATTATATTGTTTACAAGTGTACAAAAACATTTTAGTGAGAATTTTCCAAAAAAAGAGTTATTCGTGATGGAATTCAAGCGTGGCACGCAACAACATGAACTATTGATGTTTCGAAAAAAAAAATTATTCGAGACAATATTTCTTGCTCTTAAAAAATAATGAAAACTGCAGTCATTTTAATATTTTTTTGTGATTAGTACTGTTCAGGGCAATGAAATAATAATAATCCTAAATTAGTTATACGAAGTATTCAACTAACCTACAAACTAAAACTATTTTATATATTTTTATTCATAAAGGAATATAATATAAATAGATATGTATATTTTATATAGCACTACATACATCTCTATGTAGGTATATATTGTATCAAGCATTTCATTAATAAGAAAAAAAATATGAAAATATTTTGTCACTAAGTTACAAACAATAAAAATATTTTCAAACGATCGTTTGAATAGAATATTCTGAATAAAAATATGTTTTTAAATATATATTTGTAATAATTATTTTAAAAAAGTGGTAAGAGCAAAAAGTTTTTTGTTGAAATGTGATGAATGAGTTAAGACTTACGTTAACATTTTGAGTCGCTTGAGTCTGAGGTGTTTGTTTGGAAAAGAGGCCGCCGAGTATGCCTCCTAATAAACCAGAACTTCCGTCGGCCTGCATTTGTACACAGATGAATTTGTTTGTTTTTTTTTTTTTTTTTTTTTTTTTGTTTTTGTGGTTTTGTTGAGGAGTTGAGGGGGGTAGTAGGAATTTATGTTTTAATTTCAACCATTTACAAAATATACAAATGTCATGATGTAATTTTTTTTATTTTAATTTAATTTAATTAATTTTTTTGGCAACTTTAAATAAATTGGGGGATAAACAACTCTCTTTTTTCGTTACAATGAAAAGGATTTCTTTTTTTGATTTATAAAACAAAACTTTGATTCAATGCTTTGCAGCTAATAATCGTTTTAACAGATCTTTCAATTATAAATCATGCCACAACAAACCAATCCTTTTAGGATTTGGTTTTTAACTCAAGATGTAGAAGAAGAAGGAGATAAAATTGAACGGCAAGCAATTTTTTAATTGGTCGATAACGCCTTGGCTCAAAACAAAGTGGGGGGCTTGGGTAAGGGTGGGACTGAATGGTTTTCAATAAAACGTACATACATCTTAGTTAAATTTAAAAGTTAATTTAAATAATACTTTTTCTAATAATCGTTAAAAGTGTAATCGCTTAAAGGGATTATTAAAAAAATCAATTTTTTTGTGCTTATATCTCTTATATCCAGAAAATTAATTTTAAATAATTCATCTTCATTCAAAAGATTCTAGTGTTCATTTGTGTATGCAGTTTTATAGTTGTTGGATTTTAAAGTGTATTAGTAATAACTTTAGGTAGGAAGTGTGAGAAATAAAGAACGTGGGAGAATATTTTCGAGAAAATTGTATTGGTGTCGGTTTAATTTGGATTGTTAATTATTGTTTGTGACATCAACAATGGGTTAAAATATAATTGATCTTTAAATGATTAACCTCGTTGAGAAATGTCAATGTCAACAGATTTCAACTAGTTGCGAATGGCAATCCAGCATCTGAATGTGAATACATATTTTGTGTCCCGTACCATCGCTCGTTACCGTGATACTGGTAGCGTAGCCCGACGTCAAGGAAGTGGACGGAAGAAAACAGCAACATCAGCAGAAATGGTTCGAAAAGTAAAGAAGCGACTTGATTGAAACCCGCGTCGCACTGATCGAAAACTGATGACCAATTCGAACGAATCTAAACTTATTCTAAAATTTGATGCTATTTCCGACATTTTTTGCTTTCATTCAATGAAATTTAAAAAAATGTAAAAATTATGGCGTTTGACTTTGTTGCAGTTTTTTATCTCACCCTGTATGTCTTCTTGAGACATTCGGGTCTACATGCTACGTAAATTGTTGAAAGCAGGGTAGTGTGTTGATATAGTCCGCATACAGCAAATTTTCATGAATTGGCGCCCAATATGAATTGACGCCCTTTTGACGGAAGACCTCGAACAATTGGTCATATTATGGTATTTTTGTACCAGAACTTTTTGAGAAATCCCTGAAAAATTGGAATGGATCTACATACTAAATTATAGCGTACACTCTTGCCTTTCCAAAGTAGTGCGAAATGTGCTGATATCTCTTAGAGTTTCGATAGTGATAAAAATCATGAAATAGAGATTTTTTTCCTTCTAACCTCTATAGCTTTTATAAATGGCCAGCCTTCGGCCGTGGCTTAAGATTTTGTCCTTTAGGGTATGTTCAACACCGACTACGCTAACCATGGCCTTCTCAACTTTATAAATTTTGTAATTAGCTGTGGCATTAAGTAGTCCGAAAAATTTTCCATGGGATTATGTCCGTTTTTCCAAGGGATTATGTCCATATTTGCAAGGGGGTTTATGCCAGGGCACCACAGAAACATCGACTTTTTAAAATATTACTGGCCCTCACGTCACTTTGGGGATTTCATGTTTCATGTTACAAGGCTTCAATATCTACTTCCGGATTTTCACGCATGACTTTCTACACCCATAAAATAATATGGTTAACAATAGGACTAGACTCTGTTGGGAAATTTAGTATCGCTTCAGTTGTTAGGAGAGAAAATATTTACAGACGAAAATAGATGTGATAATGTTTCGAACACACATTCGAATATAAGAAGAACCGAAAACGTGGTTTAAGAAAGATGCAATGTGGTAACTCATACGGAAATGAACTTTTGCCTCTTGCAGTCAGGAACCGGAAGCGGTTTGTAATCAACAAGGGGAGGAGGAATAATAGTCAAGAAATGCTTTCTCTTAATTCGAGAGGTAGTACTCCTACGAGTAAAATAAAGAAATTGGGTATAGTCAATTTTTTGTTTCATTTGTAAGTTTGTGTATTCTCCAGACCACATATATGCTCGTTTTCACTCGTGAGAGAAACTTGCACGCGGCGGGATTTCTCGACGAGTGACATATTTATGTGGAGTTTACTCTTCACTCGTTTGTGTTGTGTGGGAGTGTTCCCGAGTCACTCCTCTTTCCAAAATTAGAGTGTGAGTCGAATCATTTGAAATAGAGAGAAAGTTTGCTCTAAGAGTGAAATAAAAACATATGATCTTCGCCTTAACAAGGCAAAACTCTAAAGTTTGTTTTGTTTTTTCCTTTCCTTTCCTTTTTTTTTTTTTTTTTTTTTTTTTGTTTTTGTACACAAAATCCACCTTCCTCTTGTTCAAAGCTGTTGTCTATTAGGCTTGCGTTTACTCTTCGAGCTCTACCGTTCGCGAATTTAACTTAGGAGCAAAAACGAAAAAATCTGAGCTCTAATCAGAATAAAATTCATGGTGTCCGAACTTGTTATGGAACTTGTATCTCATAGACCAGCTTGTGGTGACATTGGTCCTTTGACTGATTGTAACTTTATGATTGCATCACACAACACAATGGTCATAGTGAACCGTTATCCCCTAAAAATTATACCACGAGTCCCCGACAAGTCTCTATAGACCTGGACATCAACATCCCAACCACCTACATCGTGAACCCTGATTTATCACCGGTCAGTCCGATGACCATCGTCTTCAAGCTCCCAAACGTAAAGGTCACAACCATCGTAATTCCTGATTACATTTAATCAGTCGCTAACCGACGACCATAAGTTCTTGATTACCTTCATTTTACAGTGTACTTGGTTTCTCATAGAGCTGGTGCCATAAACTATTGGGCGCTATTGCAAAACTTAATAAACATCATCTAGCTTAGTTTTATTAAAAGAAAATACCTTTTAAATGTTATAAATAAGCGAAGTAATGAAAATTCTCAAGCCGGGACTGTCCTGAAAGTTTAAAAATATTTTAACCAATACAATTTCCATCAATTCTCTTCCCACTTATGTTAGTATTTAAAAAGACAGAAGTATGTTTGGAACTGGTCTTGCATATTATTAGTGGCAGTGTTCCAGAAAACCGGAACGTTTTAAGTGAAATAAAACACTTATTGCAAATGAAATTAAATTTAGTATTTTTTCACAATCAAGAAGTAGTAGAAAGTGCAGGCAAATAAAAATGGAATCAAGTTTCATGTTTGTGAAAGAAGAGTTGTAACTGTAACTGTGTTGTGGAATTATTTAAAGTTTTGTTGTTGTTTTTTTTTTTCTCTTTAAATGGTTATATATTGTTTTGTTTTATATTGTATGAAATGATAATGTTTAATGTTATTTTGTACAGTGTAGTGAAGCTGAACATATGTTACAGAGAGGGAGAGAGAAAGAGAGTTGCCAACTTGTGCTTGAAAACAAAAAAAAAGTTAGAGAGAGACATGTACAGCAATTCTGTTAAACAGGGTGGGGCATTTAGTTTCTTAGTGGAAATTTGTAAAGTTTTTTGTTTTTCGTTTTTTTTTTTTTTTTTAAATTTTAAAGGTTAGTAAAGAAGTATTTTACAGTTTGGATGTATGTAGTTGTGATGGTAATAACTTTGACAACACAGAAAGAATAATGGTAGTAGTATTAGGTATAAGAGTAAGTATAAGAGTAAGACTTTTGAAAAGAGTTGATAGATATTGAAATGTTGTGTATTTTCTTGGGGGAAAATACAAAGTTGTTGTTTTTTGTTTTCGTTTGAAAATATGTAACAAATGCCAATGGTGTTGTTATTGTTGTTATCGACACTTACCGCTTGACCTTGTTGTCCTGGCTGTTGTTGGCCGGGTTGCTGCATTCCTTGCTGTTGCATCCCTTGTTGCTGTTGTTGTGGATGCATTTGATTGGGATCGTATTGATTTGGATCCTGGCCCATCATTTGCTGCTGCATACTCATTTGACCATGTGGCCCCTGGGGTAATTGTGGACCCATACCCATGCCCATTTGATTTGGTCCCCTTCTGCCCACTGCATTTCGTACAGAATCTGTAAATGGATAACAAAATTATTTCACATGAATCCATATTGATTTTCGTAAATGTTACTCACTTGGTATTAGTATGGGTGCACTGTCGGCCGATTGTGAGTCACGCGATTTCGTTCGTATAGTCACGGCTCTTGGATTGAATGTACCCAATTTACCAATGTCTATCAGAGCATGATCACCCGTGGGTGAATTGATATCGGTTACCTTTTTACCATCAGCGTACACAGAATAGCCGGTTACAGGCCCCGATGATGTGGGCCTATTAACTGGCTGCCATGTCACTAGAATGGTACCATCTTGAGGACCAGCCTCAAGTTGAATTTCCTGAAAAAAACAAAAGCAAATAATATTACAATTTGAGATTTCTATTTTTTTTTTTTGGAGGCAATGGACGACAATTTATGACAGTTCCTGATTATCTACGTATCTTCAAAATACCGAATTGCAACACCTGATTAGCTATCTTCCCAAACGCCTTCATAAATAATCTATAACTCGTTAACATCCGATCAGAGTTCTCAATTACCCATAAAACCTTGAATAAAATATGACTAAATCGTAAAAAATATTTAAAATCGGAACTGACCCTAATATGGAAACCTTTATCAAAAAGTGGACCAGGTCAATGATTTTAGAATTTTCTATTAAATTCCAGCTCGATCTTAGTCTTTGCGAAGTATAGATTAAAAATATTGGGGAACCTTTGACTAGCGTTAACGGTATATATTTTTAGAAAACTAAAAATGGACCTCAAGCCGCAAAACCCTTTGGTCTTTGATCCACTAACGGAATACTGTCACATCCCGCTAAAATTTCCCACACCCAATTTCCCACATAGTCCAATCGATTACGAAAATTTGACTTTTAATGCGAAAAGTCGGACTAGGCCTCACTACACCTCCACCATAGTATGGAGGGTATATTAAGTTTGTAATTCCGCTTGTAACACCTCGAAATATACACTTTAGACCCCACAAAGTATATATATTCTTGATCAGCATAAAATTCCTTGTGGATTTAACGATGACCGTACGTCTGTCCGTTCGTGGAAATCCCATTAGCTTCAAAACGAAATGAAGCAGATTGATAAAATGGGTCATGTAGGTCCACGTTTTGGTATTGGCCCCATATAGTGGTACCTCCCTATTTTCGGTATTTTGGTGATTTAAGCGACATTACTCACCTGAATTATTTCAAATTTCGTATTTGAAGTTCTTAATAAATACTACAGCCTATGACCAAAAATTGTCTGTGAAGGTCCACGTCTTCGCATAGCCCCCATATAACGGTACCTCCCGATATTCGGTATTTTGATGATTTTAGCATTTGAATATTGTAATGGCTTATGACAAAAGTTGCCTATGCAGTCGTCGCATAGACCCTAATATAACGGCTACATTCGGTATTGTTAAGTATTTTACAGATTTTGTAACGGATTTTTTTAATTGCCAAATTCGTTCCAAATTGTGGAGAGTATTCAAAGATCGACCCGGTAGAACTTATATGTATTTGAGGCGCAATGTATATTTCAAGGTGTTACAAACGGAATGACAAACTTAATATACTCTCCATACTATGGTGGAGGGTATAAAACGGTGATGTCAGTGAAATTCTATTGGAATCTTGTTCCTGCGTTCGTTATTATAGTGGAATATGTCCTCGTGTCCATTAAAGAAATTCGTGTATAACTGTGGCCAAAAAAATATGAATATTTTTGATTTGACAAAATCCCCCCTTGCACTTACCTGTGGTGGATCCGGTAACCCCTTGGTTAATGTACGGAAATCGGCATAGGCTCCAGGAGCTTCTTCTTGTGGACGTCCCTGTCCTGGCTGCGAGCCACCGGGAGCGCGCAAATGTTTTGCCCTGACCGTAACTCGATACTGTGTACTGGGAGCCAAACCGGTTATGGTATGACGATAGACACCCGGTTTAACAGTTCGCACTTCGACATTATTTACACAGACGACATGCTGGTGATTGGAGTTGGCTGGCAGCCATGTTATGACAGCCGATGAACACGTTATGTGTGTAGCACGAACCGATGATGGACCCAAATGTGAGGTATCACGACCGATGATCATTGTACAGGCGGCATCACGGGATTGCTGGCGATTTTGTGTGACACTGCGGACACTGATGCGATGAGGCTGAAAGGAGGAAGAAGAAATTAATTTACGATTAGCTGATGTTGGAGGGATGTTGTGTGTGCTTCAACTTACCCGATTCGAATCCACGCCCTCTATAAGAGCACGTGTGCGTTCATTAGCTTTGACGGTTACTTTAAGCACACCATCCACATAGACATGATAGCTATCGATGAGATTATAGCCACAGGGTTCGGGTGGCGACCAGCCGATCAGTACACTTTTATTCAGTTGCCGTTCCAGGGTTAAATGTTTTGGGGCTGGTACTAAATAAACAAAATAAAAACAGAAGAAAATAAATGTTAGAATTTCAAATAATTAAAAGAAGTGAAGAACAAGCCTACAAATTCGTGGAAAATCTAGCTTACTCTCATTTAAAATATAACTTGAAAAAATCTTCTTACTTGCAAAACAACAATTCCAAAAAAAAAACAAAATGATTGTTGTTGGTGTTAGAAGGTGTTAAAAATCAAAAAGTATGCAAAAACATGTTTTATGTGATGAAAATCTTACCATTATCACTTATGTCATCCTGATCATGTTCCAAATCTGTATGGGATTCGCTTAACCTGGCCAAATCCTCTTGGGTGTGGGTGAGCAATGGATTGTGTGGTGGCAATGAGGGCAATGACGTTGAATCACATTGCATGGAACCGTCTTCGGCATCACGCAAAGTGGACAGCACAGCTTGATGGAATTCTAAGAGATCGTCGCCTGTTTGGAAATGAAGGATGAAAAAATTATGGTTGAGAAACTCATTTAATTTTTGGAAATATTTTCAAAATATTACCTATTAAACGCTGTACAAATGAAGCAGGCACCAGGCCTCGTCTACCGTCCAACAACTCAGCATCAAGGTATCCACCTTGTGGCTCACCACTGGTCCAAACAAGCAGATAGTCGCCAGCACATAATGAGAGTTCACCTTCGGCATCCCTAAAAATTATGTGAGGAACAATAATAAAGGCGTATTGTATATAAATTTGGATTAAAACAAATAAAATAGGTCTGGTCGAATTTTTAATCCCCTTCATTCTGAGAGAAAGAAAACATTTGAAAATACCCACCCACAGCTAATTTTATAAGCCCATAATCCCTAATGTCAATATTTTCCTAAAATATATATACCCAACATAGTGGTATAGGTATTATGTCTTTGTAACATGTAGAAGGAAGCGAGATGGACCCATAGTTAATTTTGAGGATCCTCATAGAATCACTTACTGAGTCGATTTAAGCATGTCAGTCCGTCTGTCCATGTATTTTTATACCCTCCCCCTTGGAAAGGAGGGTATATTAACTTTGTCATTCCGTTTGTAACATCCTGAAATATTCGTCGTGGACCCCATAAAGTATATATATTCATAATCAGCATAAAATTCTAAGTCGATTTAACGGTTTTCATCTGTCTGTTGACATCACGATACAGCCCACATTATTTGACGTAGAGTCAAAATTTAGCAGAGCAATTTGTATTGCGTCTAGGATGGTTGGCATTGAAAATGAGATATATCGGTGGTATTGAAAATGAGATATATCGTTTTGGTATAGTTCCATATAACGGTATCTCCCGATATTCGGTATTTTTATGATGTATGCCACAATGTTTCACGGATTTGTCTGAAAACTGGTATTTGTAGGTCATAACGGGTCCTAGTTCGTGTGGCGAATCATTGTAATCATAGGTCCACGTTTTTGTATAGCCCTCCCGATATTCGGTATTTTAATCGTGCCACATTTCTTCGGGGATTTGTCTAGAAATTGGTATTTGTTGGTCTTAATGGGTTCTAGCTCTTTTGGAGAAACACTGTATGTATAGGTCCACGTTTTTGTATAGCCCCATCGCATTTTTTATCTGATAGAGATGAAATATTGAACAAATCATTTACATGGTCCAAGGACAAACCCTATGGAAATTGGTGAGAATCGGTTCAAATTTATATATAACTCCTATATATATCTTCAACCGATTTGAGGTTAATTGTGCACCAAATGGCCAATATCAGTCCAAATGAACTGAATTTTGGCACATCCGACTGAATTTAGTATAGGAGTAAGTACATCAAATTTGGTGAAAATCGATTCAGATATGGCTATAGCTCTCATATATTTGTTTCATCCGATTTGGGGTTTCAAATCCCTCATATTCGTAATTTGCCAAATTTTCAGATTTGGATATAGCGCCCATACATACATTTATCGGACTTCAGGTTTATTGCACACAAAATGGCTAATATCAGCCCAAATGGAGTGAATTGTGGAATTTCCGACCGAATTCAGCCTATAAGCAAGTACATCAAATTTGGTGAAAATCGGTTCAGATATAGCTATAGCTCCCATATCCGATTTGATGTCTAAATCACTAACTTTCGCAATATGCACTCTGCAACAATGGTAGAGGTCCCCCATTGTCAGAACGTTGTCCAGGGTTTCCCACATATTACGGCACCCATCTATAATAAAAATCAATGTTTGTAGTTAATAAAAAACCATTGTTAAACTATTGTCCATATGGCCAAAAATGCCTCATCGTAACAAAGGGTTTTTTGGACGAAATCCAGCTCTGAGAGTATTTTATATATCTCAAAGTTGGTACATTGTAATATTTAAACAAGGCTTTAGTTTGGAACGGAAATGACCTATTTTGATTCACTTGTCCTTCTACCTTCCCCACAAAAGTTCAAATATGCCAAAAAAATCAACCTTATATCCAATATTGGGCTGCCGAAACATTAATATCAGACTTAGATCTAGAGATAACAGGGAAAAAGTTGGTTCACTGCTTCGCGTAACTAACTCTCATAAAATGTTTTTAACTTCAGCTAAAGAGGTAGTGTATAGAAGACACGAATTTGTACAAAGAGTGAAACTCCCTCGAATTCGAGCAAGTGCGCTCCTGGAAGAAGATAAGAAAATCGGGCAAACTCAATAGTTTGATGTCTCCAGAATATGAGTAAGCATTTGAGTGGGAGCGAAATTCATTCAAAATCGAGCGGATTCTTCTTTTACTAATCACTTCTATGTATGCGCATTTTTCTTTACAAGATCAGACCCCCTCTTCCCCCTCTCCACTCCTCTTACACACTCTTCCCCAACTCTTCAACAGAGCACAGCAACATAAAAACCAGTGTGCTGTTTCCAGACGAACAAACCAGAAAACCAAACAAAAATGTTACACTCCTTTACATTCTTAGAGCAAACTCTTGCTCTATTTTGTGCGATTCTGTCTCCACTGTAAGTTTTCAAATATAAGTCATTCGGGAGAACTCCCACAAAAACAAGTAAACTTCCAATCTTCAAGCAATTCTGCTCATATAAAAGTTTCCCTCCCGGGTGAAAATGAGCAAATCTGTGTTCTGGTATTCACTGCACTACGGAAAAAAATAGGTTTATTAAATAGGTTCAATACTTACTCTGGTGGATCATATGGAAAACGGGCTATGAATACACAACAACGTCCCTTGCCAGGTATATCCAACATATCCACTTGAGGTTCACTGATGCCATTGTTCAAATTATGATTGCGAGCTAAGGATAAAGAAGATGATAAGAGAAAAAAAATAGGGAAAAGGATAATGTTTTAAACAAGCAAGCAACCAAATTACTCAAATCTACAAATGCTTAAGCTATATTCGGGAGTTGGGTAGACTTAAAACTACATCTAGCAATTAAAAACATAAGTACTTACTTTCTAAATCCAATGGCGCTAAAGCTAAACCACTTCGACTGTGCATCAGACTGTCCTGGAATTCATCCAAGCCCCAGGTATTAGGTGGTATCGGTGAGCAAGGCGAACTACGATTGCCGTAACGTGTCAACGGTATATCGATCTCTTCCAGCATTTTCATTTTGGTAGCATTGCGCAGGGCAACCGATGTAAAGGGATATGATGCGGACGAGGCAACATCGAGAAATGAAGGCGGTGGACCAAAGGTGTTCTGCAAACCGGGAGCCAACCCACTGACGCCGCTGCCAAGACCATAAAGCGAAGATGTGCCAGCCAGACCAGTACCGAGACCAGTTAAGCCGCTGGTACCCAGCAGAGCGCTCGTATCCAGGCCGGGTATTGAGGGATGCGTCAGAGAGGCACCCAATGGCGGCAGGCCTGCGGTGGGGCCGGTACCACTCAGCCCCAGGGCTGAGTAGCTGTTGGTGCCCGTGGGTAAGTTATGCGAGTTCAGCGAGAGTATAGGCATAGTTGTGCTCTGTAAATTGTATAGTTGTATTGTGCCACGCTATTATTATTGGAATATTGATATTGGTTGTTTGTTTGGTTGATTGTTTGGTGGGAGAGTGAGAATTATAAGCAAATTGAGTAAACGCACACACAGTAATACAAGAACACAGTGTTGACAATTCGAATTTTTGAAATTCGATAGAAATGTTGCAGCGTTTGTTGTTGTTTTTGTGGATCAATATTATTATTGTTGTTAGTAATATAATATAGTAGTTGTTGTTTTAGTTATTTGCATTTGTGTGTAGTTTTGTTGTTAATGTTTTCATTGTTGTTGGTTTTTGTTTTTTCATTTTTAAAATATAGCCATCGAAATAAATCACACACAAATGGGGATACAAAGACAGAGACGGAGACACACATACACAGACAGATATGTACAAGAAACATTGATCACATCAATTGTGATGAGTGTATGTATGTTGACGTGTGTGTGTGTGTGAGTGTAAATTTTTAATAGGTTTTTAACAATAAACACACGCACACACACGTATATGGATATGTAGTCATTTATACATTTAGAGTATGTTGATAGAACAAGGATACCAAAGTTGTTTGTTTTGTTGTCCGCACACACGCACACAAAAAAAACGTTTGAAAGAGAAGAAAAGAAACGATTTTGTAATAGTCGAAACGGAAACGGATATGAAATTTATATCACAGCAGTTACGACACACGCACACACAACACAAAGTTGTACGAGAGAGTTGTTAATGTTGTTGTCGTTTTCGTTGTGGCATGAGTAGAACAAACGGCGGAGAGAAGGAAGAGATATACAACAAAAACCAAAGAGACATATGACGACAGCACATATACAATAGAATAGATATCAAAGAGAAGCATACATAGAAATAGAGAAAGAGAGAAGAGAGAAAAAAGAAGAATAGAAAAAAGAAAGAAATCAATTTGTAATTTCTTTGGGTTTTCTTTCTTCATTTGTTGTTGTTGTAGTTATTATTGTTCTTGTTGGTTTTGTTATTTTTAGCAAATGGAAGAGAGTGTCTGTATTTGAGTTAGTTCGGGCAAGCGAAATAGTTGTTGTTAGTCGTTAATGAATTTTTGCTTGTCCGTTTTCATCCGTTTGGGTCCAGGCTGCTGCCTGGCAGCCAGAGCCCCCAGACGATAAAAGGACAAGCAAGCGGCTGCTGCTGCTATGGCTGCTGTCGAGCGACATGTATGATATTTGATGACGAAATAATCCCTCTAACCGGGGGACTCATGAAATAATCGCAAAGCATAATGGTAAGTAAGCGTTCACATGATGGCCATGAAAGCCTTTTTTGAAGGCTGATGAATGCTTTCAACGAACGAACGAAGGTGTCGAGCGTGGTCGATTTACACAAAGGGAGGAAGAAGAAGAATATAAACGTTTTGTAAAATTGTTAGATTCTCAAATAAAACGGAAACTCAAGATAACAGTCATGCAGAAGCCATTTTTAGATAAACATACCAATACCCACACACAGACGCACATACGAACATATCAAAGCGTAGAATATGTAATTTGTAAACAAATAGAAAAAGCATGGAAGAATAAGAGTTTTGCGGAAGTAGAAGTAATTAGCATCTTAAGAATAACTAATGAGACTGAAAAAAGGTATCGTAATAAGTTAAAACGATGGCAACATTTGTATTTTTATTAAATGAGATCTACACGCATTTTCTATGCCCTAAAATGTATGTCTTTCGGACCAATCTCTACATTGTTAATTCCGATGATGTAGAATAAATAAATACAAAAGTATTTAGTTTTTAACAACAAAATCGAAATGAATTACGAGAAATGTTATTAAGCTTTATACAATCTGACGAGCATCGGTGCTCTGGGACCATAAAATATCAATTTTGAAATACTGTTATATTCTGTGAGTAAGGGACCCCCAAATACAATTGGGCCCCACTCACAATATGAAGCATTCTTAAATTCCATTACTATCACCAAAAATATAATCTAAACTATTTTATAATATTGTAATACGAAAATTTTGAATACAGAGTTATACTGGTCTCAAAACTAGATATTCTTAAATCGCAAGTAATTTGGTTAAAAACGTGTTTGACGCTTTGAAGTATTTAAAATCATTATGCACCGTTATAGGAGGCTATATCTGAACAGGTGTTTGTTTTCATTAACAATACCTTCGAATTTTCGGACCAAATTTTGAAGAACCTGTCTTAAATATTACGAGCATTGCTGACACGAAGTAAAATTTTGTGCTCATCACCATGTACTCCAGACAAATACTTTAAACTGACGCAAATTGAGTCGTTTTTTTACAACTAAGATTTTTAAATGTTAACAAGTAAAGAAGCAGCTAAGTTCGGCCGGGCCGAACTTTCAATACCCTCAACAATTTGGAAGGTACTTGATTAAAAAAATAAAAATCTGAAAACTACAACGAAGATGGCAACCTTTTTCTCATATGCTGTAGTACCCATTACGAACTTCAAATACAAAATTTGAAACAGTTTCAGTGAATAATGTGACTAAAATCATGAAAATACCGAGTATCGGGAGGTACCGTGATATGGGGGCTATACGAAGACGTCGACCTGCATACGACATTTTTGTCATAGGTTGTTGTACCCATTAATATTTTCCAATACGAAATTTGAAACGATTCCGGTGATTAATGTTGCTGAAATCATCAAAATACCGACTATCGAGAGGTATCGTTATATGAGATCTATACGAAGACGTGGACCTGCATACTAATTTTTTTCCGTAGATTGCATACCCATTTCCAATACGAAATTTGAAACGATTCCGGTAAATAATGTTGCTGAAATCATCAAAATACCGACTTTCGGAAGGTACCGTTATATGGGGACTATACGAAGACGTGGACCTGCATACAAAGATTTTTGTCATAGGCTGTAGTATCCATTAGGATCTTCCGGCACGAAATTTGAAATAATTCTGCTAAATAATGTCGCTAAAATCATTAAAATACCGAATATCGGGAGGTACCTTTGTATATCGGGAGGTAAAGTTGATGGTGGAGTTTTTATGTTGTATGAGACGAATGTACCAAATCGATCAAATAAACCTAAAACTGAATGATATAAATGTAAATGATATATTTTACAGAAACTCATATTAGGGTTTAGGTGCTAAAATTTGATAAAAACATATATAGGGAAGTTAAAGCTATATCTGAACCGATTTTTACTAAATCTGACATACTTTTTTCTACACTCAATTCGGTGCTATATATGTGCCAAAATCCATTCAATTTAAGCCACTTGGTGCACAATTAACTAGAAATCGGATAAAGATATAAATTGAAGCTATATCCAAATCTGAACCGATCTTGATAAAATTTGGCAGAGGTATTGCTCGGTTGTATCTAATATCTGATACGAAACATGATTCTTGTACTATAGGAGATATAGTTGTATCTGATCCGATTTTCTGTACTTGCGTCTAGACTGAATTCGGTCAGATGTGACAAAAAATCAGGTCATTTGAAGAAAACAGCAACATCAGCAGAAATGGTTCGAAAAGTAAAGAAGCGACTTGATCGAAACCCGCGTCGCAGTGGCCGAAAAATGGCTCGTGAGCTGAACATATCGCAATATTCCATTTGGCAAATATTGAAAAATGAGCTCAGGGTAAAACCATTGAAATTGTAAAAAGTGCAGGAAGTTACACCGCAAGAGATGTTGCTTCGCTTGGCCTGCCGAATTTGGTTTTCTCCCATGAGAAAACATTCGTTGTCCAGCAAAATGATCGTGTTTACTTGCCAAAGAGGTCTGCTGAAAATGTGCACCTTCGGTTGGCCATCAGTTCCTCACTTCATTTCCAGCGCACAATGGCCACCAAAATCTCAAGATAGCAATCCGCTGGATTATTGTGTCTGGAGTATTTTAGATAGCAAGGTTTGCACCAAAAAAATACCAAAGTGTCGATCACCTCAAGCAAGCACTTCGCCGGGAATGGGCCAAAATACTGCAGAGCAACATTCCGGCAGCATGTGACGGTTTCGTTGGCCGTTTGAAGACAATAATTCGTGCCAAAGGTGACAAATTCGAACAAATCTAAAAGTATTCTAGAATTTTATGCTGTTTCCGACATTTTTTTGCATTCATTCAATAAAATTTAGAAAATAAATGTAAAAAATTATGGCGTTTGACTTTGTTACTGTTTTTTTATCTTATCCTGTATATGGGAGCTATATGCAAATCTGAACCGATTATCACAAATTTCAATAGGGTTCGTCCTTGGGCCAAGCAAATAATTTGTGGAAAATTTCATCTCAATTGGATAATAAATGGGACCTGCATTTTGTTCACAAGAATACATTGACAGACGGACGGAGAAACGGACTGACATGCGTAAATCGAATCAGAAAGTAAGTAACTATGGGTCTATCTCGGTTCCTTCTCCCTGTTACAAACAAATGCACAAAGGCGTAATACGTGGTGGTGTAGGGTATAAAAAGCAATATGTTTTGTAGGGTATAAAACAGAGCAAAATACCTATCATTAAAAGCATTAAAAGTTGTTTGAAAAGTCGAAATTTAATATCTTATTTCTCGAAGAGGACACCTTATGTCCAAATGACATAAATTTGCCTGATATTCCTATATATATATATCCTAAATATTGACTTGGATTGAAAAGTCCTAATAATTTTATGTCAAATAGATTATTTCGTAATGAAATGTCAAGTTTGGTAGTTTTTTATTTATTAATTTCTATTAAAAAGTATGAAAAAACAACTATTACATTGCTTGCAAAAGTCTCTACTCCCACAAAATGGCTCTACCCTTAAAATCAAATTAAACAAAAGCGTTGTTCTCAATTTTGTTGTCATTTTAATAAATCGCAAAACGGCAAGGTAAGCAATTTGTAGACCTCATTCAGAAAACAAATGACAATGCCTACCTATGAAAATGATTAGATCATTTATCAGTTATTTTGACCCATTTATTTATAGAAAAGAAAAAAATATTTTATTGCCATGTT